GACTATAGTTCACACAGAATTTATAGTCGAGCAACCGGAACAAACCGAACAACAGCCAGTCGACTCGAACAACAGGAGGAACTCGACCAACAGGCTTTGTGGGAATTCGGAGGAGGTAAAACCGGAGGAAGACGATTACCGACCTCCAACCATAGTCGTCCAGCAGTTGTCAACCGAACAACCGACCTTGGCTAACAACCAGCAGAAGTCGGAGCACTTCAACACATGGAAGGCACGAGTTGCCAAAGTAACGACGATCGAGGAGCTGGACCTGGACAACAAATGCCCAGAAGTCCACCACCTAAAGCTGGATCCCCTACGTAGAGACAAAGCGCTAGACCGACAAGTCGTCTTCAACAGCGAGCGAGTCTCTCTCCCAGCATGGTCAACATGTTCGATAAAGGTACGGACGGCCAAACCAATGGATCCGAGAAGACCAATTTACTTCTCTACCCTACAACAGGTAGTCCGACCTATTCGGCCAATCGAAGCCAAGATCGACATCCGACCGACCAACGACACGGCCTGGATAAACATTCAGAACACGACTCACCAAACAAAGGTGCTGAAGAAAGGTGTTCGACTCGGACATATGCAATACGCTGACGTCTATGAACCGGAAATCAACAATGCATTCGTCGAATGGGAACTCCCACACAGAGTGGCGAAGACTTGGCCCCCGACTCGGGAAGTGAAGCCAAAACCCCAATTCGAAGTTTTCGAGGCAACAGGAGTTCGAGCCCAACGGAAGGTCAAACTCATCCCTCGAGCCGTAACCATGGTAGAAGTCGTCCTGGACGTACCGGTATCCAAGGACCAGAAATTGATGTACCTCGGTGAATCCGACCCCAAACGAGACGGAGTCGAATTCATGGACGGCGTAACCAAGCATGATGGGAAACGATTCACCGTCATGGTGGCAAACCACACTCATCGGGAGGTAACCTTACGCAAAGGTGCCCCGATGGGTCGAGCTGAAGCATTTACAATGATGACGGACGACCAGAAAGTCGAAGAGGCACGAGTCAACGGCTGAAGACAGAGGAGTCCCAGGAGGGAGCGAAGAAGAATCATCGACTCCATGAACTTCGGTAAAAACTTAACCGACGAGCAACTAGCCAAACTGAAGGCCGTTGCATGGGATTACCGGACCGTATTTCCGACCTCGAAGAAACCTTACGGAGACGTCAAAGGGGTAACACATACCATTGATGTCCAAGGTGCACAGCCGATTAAGATGAACCCCACCAGGACAAGCTGGAAGGGACGTGAATTCATCCAAAAACACGTGCAAGAGATGCTCGACCAAGGAGTCATCGAACCGTCATCGGCTGCATGGAGCTTCCCCGTCGTCTTAGCCGCGAAACGGAACGGAGACGGCACGGTAGGAACACGCTTCTGCATCAACTATATCAAGTTGAATGCCGTCACGAAAAACAACTACCCACTACCGAACCCGGACGAGCTACTGGACCGATGTGCCGGAATGGAATACTACGGCAAGGTAGACTGCCAGTCCGGCTTTTGGCAAATTCCCATGGACGAACAATCCAAAGACTACACGACCTTCGTAACACCCGAAGGCATGTGGCGATTTAACCGTATGCCGTTTGGAGTCTGCAACGGACCAGCAACTTTCCAAATGCATATGGATAAAATTACGGCATCAGCTCGGAAGAAAGGTGTATTCGCCTACATTGACGACATCATCTTCTTCGGCAAAACGTTCGAAGACTTCCTTAGAGGCTTTCCGAGCAACTCTCGAATGCCTCCGCGATGCTGGATTTACGGTCAAACCCTCCAAATGTGAGGTCGGAACGGACAGACTGCTGTTCCTGGGACATGTTCTTAGTAAAAACGGAGTCCAGACCGACGATGAGAAAGTGGCCTGTATCGCAGAACAAAGCTGCCCGAGAACTGAACGGCAACTTAGGTCGTTCCTCGGACTGGCCAACTACTACCGGAAATTCATCCGAGGATACGCTCAGAAGACTGCAAAGATGTATGAGCTCTTACGGAAGGACAAGAACATCAAGCTCGATTGGACGGAAGCCCACACGGCCGAGTTCAACGACATCAAGAAGGCGCTAACCGAAGCACCTGTACTGGCGAAGTTCGACCCGACCAAGAAGACCGTCATCGAATGGGACGCAAGCGGAGCCGGACTTGGCGCGGTGATCTCACAAGACGATCATCCAATAGCCTACGCCAGTCGAGTCCTACGTGGACCGGAACTCAATTATGGAGTCACCGAATGGGAATGTTTGGCCGTGGTATGGGCCGTGCAGAAATTTAAGCACTTCATCGACCACGGACCATTCACCGTAAGGACGGATCATCGAGCACTGCAGAATCTGCTCCGATGCGAGTCGAACCGACCTGGCATCAACCCTCGACTAACGAGATGGGCACTGGCTTTACAAGGACGGGACATAACCATCGAGTATAAGCCAGGAGTTTTCTGCGACAATGCGGACGCCCTGTCGAGATGGCCACTCGAACGTAGTGACGACAAAGATCCACACGAAGAGTTGGACCAAGTCCCCAACTTCGAGGACTTCAAGGACGAAATCAAGGTCTGCACAATACGGACTCTTAGACGTCTGAAGGCAAATGCCTCAAAGAAAAGGAAGAAGGATCTGAAGGAACCACCGAAAATCCCCCTTCCACCGGTTCTACCAGGATGCAATGTCATAACCGACTGGGACGACTTGAGTACCACAGAGGTCCGAGTCATTAACATCCCAGCATCGGAGACACCTGAACCGACTATTCGGACCGTCAACACGGCGGAAGATGACGAGTTGGAAGTCGAAAAGACACTCCCACCTCCACCCGAACCGAACGTAGAACTTCGGAAAGCGCAGTTGCGAGACCCACAACTACGCAAAATCATTGATGAACTGGAACACCCAGAGAACCTTGACCATAAGTCGCAACATCTGGAACATTACCAGATGGCGCAAGGAGTCTTGTACAGACTGAAGACCATCAACACAAAGTTGGAACGGTGCTTCGTCGTACCACTCTTTATGCGAAATCAAATCATCCGATCACTCCACGATGGAAAAACCGGAAACCATTTCGGACGGGAGAAGACGATCGAAGCGCTGAAGCTGCGTTACTATTGGCCACGGATGAACACCGATGCCATCGCCTACATTGAGAAATGCCGACAGTGCATCATGACCAATAAGCAACGACGCCCACCACCTGGTAAACTCCAGAAGATGGAAGTCGGTGAAGCCTGGTACCGCATCTATGCGGACTTCAAAGGTCCTCTTCCTCGAACGGAGACGAAGGGATACCAGTATATCGCAGTGGTAACCGACCAGCTGACGAAGTTCACCGTAGCTCGGGCAACAAAGACGAATACCGCGAGGGAATTCGAACGGTTCTTCGTCAAAGATGTCCTTTTGAAGTACGGAATGCCGACCTTCATCCACTCGGACAGAGGGACACACTTTACAGCGAGGACGTTCGCTAAGGTCGCACGGATCTTCGGCATCCAACATACGCTCGGAACTGCCCACCATCCGGAAGGACAAGGACAAGTCGAACGGCAAATGCAAACGATTTGGGACGGAATTAGGAAGTTCTGCGACGTAAAGACGGACACCGATGGCACAGAGCCTTGGATTATGTCGTCTGCGGAATGAACCGAGCCGTCCACGCCGCGACTAAGTTCTCACCGTTCTACATGTTGTATGGTCGACAAATGACCATGCCACAGGACATAGTGGCCGGAACGAATACACCGGAAACCTTTACGGATAAAGAACAATATATCCGACGGATAAAAGAACGACTTCAACGCTCGCACGAGATTGCTCGCATCAACATTGATGAAGCATTCGAACGGAACGCCGAGCATTACAATAAGAAGAAGTCGAGTCCGACCTTCAAACCGAGGGACAAGGTAACGGTGGAATTCCCGACCAAGGACCCAGCTCGGAAGGAACGCTATGATGGAGTTTGGACGGTCATCAACTATGTTGGCCCGAACAACTTGCTCCTCCGATGCGAAGACGGACGTGAAGATACGGTAGCCGTCGACCGAGTTAAACATTGCCGAGTCGAGACAAGTCGACCAGCAACTCGGTCAACTGGCCCGGTAGCCGACCCGACAGAAGGGAAAGCTACTCGCAAGCCGAAGAAAAAAACGGAAGAAACCGTTGCAAATCCTTCGAATCCGACCAACGATGCGGATAAAACCGAACCGAAGGTGAAGAATAAGCGAGGTCGACCTCGGAAGAAACCTCCGACCGACTTCGAGACACCTGCACTGAAGGAACTTCAGAAGCAAGATGTGATAGCTGCCGACCCAGCACCGACCTCGGAGGAAGTCGACGAGCACAAAGCTCAGCCGACCACCGAGCAGCCGAAGAAGTCGGATGACAAGTCGGAAACGCCGGTCCAGCCAGCCAACCAACTAACAGAGGAACCGAAGTCGGCAACAAAGCCAGCTCGGAAAAGAGGACGGTAAAGAAAACCGACTCGTCGGCACCGACCACAGAGGCCGTTGTAGCCGACTCGGCAGTCCAACCGACCAAGCCAAAACGCAAGTATACAAAGCGGAAGGTCGACTTACCTAGTACACCGGCGCCGACCACGGAAGTCGTAGCAGCCGACCAGGCAGTCGAACCGACTAAGCCGAAGCGGAAGTACGGTACAGTCAAGAAACCGAGGCTAACGGCACAACAGATGCTGGAGGAAACAGAAGTCGCTGAAGATGAAGCCCATAAGGAAATCCTCGAACGAATTACCGAAGGACGGGCGGACTCGGAGAAACCAGTCAAAACAGCAAAACCTAAGACACCCAAAACAGCAGTCACAACAGAACAGACTCAGTCATAGGGCCATAGGCGTAAAACTTAGAAAAAGTTTTAGGTAGCTTAACAGTAGCTAGATATAGATGGACCTTTGGTGTCGAAATGGAACCTCTTCAGTTGACCGGAACATCTTCAGTTGAATGTACGGGAGTTGGTAGAATTCTAACGCGCCGTATTTCCTTTCCTTGACAGCAAGCAACAATGTCAGGCCGTCACCGACACGACCCACCTTCCAGCGGATCTAACAGCGGACGTAGTGGCAGCGGATCGAACCGATCTCAGCCCTACCCGGCTCATCGCTCGACATCGCGATCGGATAATTCGCGGTCGGCCACACAGACGCCTTTACCGCAGGTAAACAATCCTCAAGCTAACGCAACGGCTAATGTTTTAGCAGGTCTTACGGTCGGGTCCCAACGTGGAGCGATACCGCCGCAGGTTTTGCCGCCGAACACAGCAGTCGACACCACAGGCTGTCTGTGGAACCTCGGTACTGGAACGAGTCAAACGACTCCGGTAACGGCAACAGACCTACATGGTCAAATGCCACCGTATCAGTGGTCGGCACCAACAACAATAGTCGGACCGACCAGCTCGGCATCAACAATGATGACCGGAGCAGCTTACCCGTCACCGACAATGGTGTCAGGGATAGCAAATACGCCCGCAACGGTCTACATGGTGCCCACAATGGCGCCAGGGACGGCTAACATAGCCGGTCCGATCTACACGACGCCCACATTGGCGCCGAGTAGTTTCCCATACACTCCACCGGCGATGCGATTTGCATCAATCCCGCCAACGTCAGGAATACCACCCCCACAAATCGCAACGATCAGCATGGTCAACCCGGATGGCACACTTTCGCCACCAAGGCCGATATTGCTTACGCCACCGACTTCGCCGACTCATTTTCGACCACCTGGACAACAAAGTTCCTGGATGGATCCGAACGCGACGACTCACTTAATGAACCGGCTGAATCAGCACAGAAGTCAGGTCGGAGGACAGAGCCAACAAGTGCCTGTTTCGACGACGGCCACACAGGTCGTAACGTCGATGCCTCCACCTTTGGTGGTCGTCCAAGAAATTAACACCAACGGAAGGACCGACGAGGAACTCCGCCAACAAGCGAAATTGGCTCGTGCTCACATAGACACGATTAGCCACGCGTTGACGCAGACTTCGCAGATGGATCCAAGCCACGCCGACTATCGAGCGGCACTATTAAATCAGCTCTCTTATAATGAGACACGGCTGAACGAGGCTACCAAGACGCTCTATCAAAGGGAACAGCAATCCCTCCGAATCTGCCAGCAGGCAGTAGCCCGGAATGTGGCCCAGAGACTGGGAGACCCAGAACCAGACCCTTTCTCGATAACCACACAGGTTGTCGTACCGACGTCCCAGCCAACTCCGTCGACCTCGGAAGGCCAACAAGTGCCTGGCCGAACACCGTCGTTGGAGATCGGAAAACTCCGCGTCCAGAAGGAGGAGGCCATTAAGAAGGCAATTAAACTCAGAATGAGTTATTCAAAAACCCCCCATACATCGGAGAACTACTCGGCCGAGATGGGAAGGATAGACCGAGAGGAACAACAATGTACCGATCAGGCCGCTCATCTCGAAAGGAAGATACGAGCCGAGGAACAGAACTTGCGCTCGTCCGGAGTCTCAGCACCGACCACACAGGCGGTGATTGATGAAGAAATCCGGTTGGCTCGGCTGGACGCTCTAGCACAAAAACGCAACGAATACCTCCACAGGATCGACGAGGCGAAGCGACGCCTGCCCACACTCGATCCGACCGAGGAACATCATCATCGAATTCTCCAGAGCAATCTCGAACTGATTGACCACTGGACAAAGAAATACATGGAGCAAGAGAATGAAATCCGAGCTCTCCAGCCGACGACGACCCAACAAGCGGCCGTCCCAACGAGTCAACCCCAACCAACAATAGCGGTGAATGTAGGCTCGGATATGCCACCTATCATGGTCCCATTCCCATCGCTGAATCCGGTACAGCAAGTCCGACAAGGACCACCTGTAGAACCTCTCCCAACACTGCAGGAGCTAAGGGATCTTCTCCGGATGACTAACATAGTCATCGGACGAATTGACGCGGTACTAGAAGATACTCCCAAAGGAACTCCGGAAGCCATTAACCTTAACGGCGACCGAGCGGTTATCGCAACGCACACACAGTGGTTGCGACCGTACTTGAACACCGGTATGCCGACGGAATTGGCCTTGCTGACAGCAATTGGTAACAGGATGAGGAATGCTCGCAACAGAGCCGAGCGATACCCCCAGTTGATTCAGAATCTGGAAGCGGCCGAACGGAGGTCGGATGCAGTGAGAGTACTTACACCGGAGCAGATCCAACCAATCCTCGTTAGGGGAGAACGACTCCTCGACCACTGGAGGATGACACCACAGACCCAGACGACTGTGGACGGGACAGCCACTAGAATCAGCGCCCTTCACACAAGTCTCCGGATAGCTGGACGACTCACAGCACCAGGATACCCGGCCACAGACGACCAGGCCGTACGGCTGAACCAACACGTTCGACGGATACAACAGATGATCCAGAGCGACCCACAAGGTGCCGAACAACAAGTTCCGTCCTATCACGTAATGACAGCTCAAATCGCAGCGGACGGCCAGCCGACAGAAGCTTGGAAGGCGATTCTCATAGGCAAACAGACCATTCAACACATCTACGACCACGCCTGGCCGGGAAGCCTCGACTTCAAGTTTAATAAGATTAACGATCTCATAACCGACATAAAGTCGGTCGGGGATCTGATGAAGTCTGGTACGCCTACCACAAAGGAGGATAAGAACCGACTTCGAGCAGCTATAGGCCGTATAGACAGGGCTGGTTGGTCAGAGAAGTTTCCGACCTCCAACACGGAAGGATCGATGACGATTCCGGGAGACACCAGGATTTCACCGATATCGTCACCACCGCCGGCAACCACACAGGTCGTCAGCGGGACACAATCACTGGACCCCCAGGTACCTAACTCGGAACGCATCCGAAGATTGGCCGAACTGAAAAAGGAGCGGGAGGATGTCATCGCCCAGTCGAACGAAACTAGGCAAAGGATGGCTACTCTTCCAACAGGGGACGATAGCCACCCTCAAGAATTCCAAGCTTTACTCGACCAGTACAAACAACTGTACAATTGGCACACCGACTTGGACAGACGTATCCAGTCGGAGGAACAGCAAGTCCACCTTGCCTCAGTTTTAACGCCAACAACGACCACACAGGCCGTAACGTTGACGACCCTGGCAAGCGACACAGTCATCGCCCAGGGCAGAATTGCCATACAAGAGGCAGAAGACGTCCTGAAACGGATTCAGCAGCGCGCTGAGAAGGGATTCGAGCCGAACGCCCAGAAGACAATCTCTGAATTCACCACTCACATACAACTTGTGAGAAACCTGATACAATCAGGCGTGATTGAACCGGGAGTCCATTCCCAACTTGTCCAGAACGGCATAAACCAGCTGCGGGACTATAGCCGAAGTCAACGCCGACCAGCCGACTCCGACATGGAGACTTCGGATGCATTGCCGTCGACCTCATCGGCCATGGAAATGCACTCGGCAATACGGAAAAGCCGCAGGGAAAAGATGGCTGGAATAATAACCGACGGGTGGAATCTACTGGAACACCTCCAGCGATCCTTTGTCAACGAGACACCGTCCGATCCTGAAACTCTTAAAGTGGCGAGACAGAAGATGAACGACCTGATGGCTTACCTGAAAAAGGCGGACATCCTCATGGGTAAAAGTGAACCAACCGAGGCCGACGAACGGCAACTCAGGTCGGTAGTCGAACGGATCACAGAGATCCTCGACGCGGAACCGGCATACTCTAAGCGGATTCCGACCCCATCGCCACCTCGCCGACCAGCACCGACTACGACAGCGGTGATGACTCTAGTCGGCACGACACCGATGGAAAACCCAATCGCCAACATGGACATAATTACCCAGGCTGGACAGGACTTAGCCGATATCTTCTTCCACCGACTTAGCGGAACCTTAACGGAACAAGAGGAAACCGACCTCACCCGAATCGACCGAGCACTACGACTCGAGTTGGATTGGGCCGATACTCTAGGCTCATGGGAAATTCCACCGCCAGGTCCGAACCGAGACCGGCTAGTCGAAGCACTCCAGTCGGTGATCGACTATGTCAAACAGTACTTGGCTAAACCGAACAAAGCGGGAGCACCAGTACCAGCTCGGGAGAGAACACCTTCCCCAGTCCCATCAGTTGGACTCGACGTCGAACTTCCATCCACCGAAGTAGTTGGACAAAAAGAAGTCAACATCGGTGAAGTCGAAGATCAATACCGAGAAGCGGTCGAAGTTATGGAAAAGCTCGGAAAACAACTCCGGGAGCTCGATCCTAACAACGCTATGGAGAAACAGATGCGTGACGCCTTGGACCAGCAGTATACTATCTGCTCAAGGCGGGTCGAAGATTTGTGGAAAGTCCTAGAAGCTAACCCACAAAGGGTTCAGCCGACTTCCACTCAGTCACAGCCGACTACTTCACAACAACCGCCCGAGCCCACAATGGCCGAACAGCGGGAAGAACTTGATCGGAGGCTGGCTCGTGCTAAGAAGATTGCTGCCGACTTACAACGACAAGTCGACAGTATGGACGGAACAGATCCGACTATCCGCAACATACGGACGGCAATCGGAGATCAACTCAGGATTTCCCAGATGCACGTCCAGGATATAGAAGCAGAGATCGACATGCTCCGACGCGATTCGATGGCAGAAAGAATCCGCCGAGAAAAACGTGGTCCGCAACAGCCGACTACTTCGAGCAAACCGACTTCGACAACAGCTCGGATTCAGCTTCAGCCAACCTCAACAACGAGTTTGGCTCAATCGGAACCGATGGAAATGGCCGACCGGCCCATGTCTCCGGCTACAGAAGCTCGGATTATGGAAGCCATACCGGACACGGACGAATTGCCGAGTACGGTCGCGCCACACATAGTTAAATTGCTGGTTCGAGTAACGGAACTCATCACAGAGATGAGAGCCCGCCGAAATTTCTGTGTCGATAACAGTCAGGAAGCAAACGACTTGGATCGAGACATCCTGGCCTGGGGAAATAACGCTCGGTTCATACGACGACTTTGTCATCCGGACGCCCCCCAAACGACCAGGACTCGACAACATCTTATCCGAACTACATCATGGTTGGAAACCAGGGTGAACGAGTACGAGGAGGAAAAGCAACGGGACGAAGAAGAGAAGTCGACCAGCGTGGCAACAAACGCCATGGCTGAAGGTCGGTCGTCTAGGATCACAAAGATCCAGACGGCCCGGAAACCGAGTTTCGACTCAGTCCGACTTCCACCTCCGGCCCCACCAGCCAAACCCGACCTTGAGTGGATAAAAGCAGTTAACACACAGTTACTGCGAGCGGACGCTGTTATAGTCGAACTCCGAAAAATGATGGACGAAACCGACCAGCGGAGTCCACAGTATTGTCAGATCGACATCAACCTCGGACACTTAGAGAACAACACCAAGGAAGCCCGATTTATCCTTCGACCAACAACAGTGTGGTCAGCTAAGAATCAGGAACGGCTACAAACATTGGTAGCCATGATCCAGTCTTTCGTAGACGACTTCTACAAACGGAAAGAAGCGGAAGAACAGAAGAAATCGAGGAGACCGCCATCCGCGAAAAAGCCTAAGGTACAACCTGTCAAACCGACACAGGTAGTCCCACCGGCGAGTCACCCAGACGAGCCGATGGACGAAGTGCCAGTCCCTCCACTTGAAGGCGACGACGAACCGATGGATACTTCGGAGGAAGTCGGAACAACAGAAGTAACCCGACCTAAGCCCCTGGAACGACCTACAACGTTACCTGGGCTCTCACAAAGAGAACCACAGAGTGAACGAACACCTGAGGGTCGACTTATCCTCCAACCAGGCGGATCGAACTCAACAAAGTTTGCACGGAAGCCAAAACGACGGATAACGTCGGAGAGCATGGACCACGCAGGCGGCTCTTCCCGTCGAAGTCGCCATCACCAGTCCCAGTCAGGACCAAGGAACAACTCTTGGAAATCCTGAAGGCGACTCCGTCTTCCCTACCACCGGCCGAAGAGAAACCGAGCCCGTCGCGGAAAGTGATGGGAGCAAAAGCTTTGTTTACTCCGGCCGTCCATAAGAAGCTGGTTGGACAAGCCAAAACGCTGGACCTTCAACGGATACTCTACGAAGCACAACTTCAAGGAGGCATCCGAGATCGGACCATGACAGAAGAGCAACAGACTCAAATGGCCCAGAAGATCCATGCTACCATCCAGGATAGAGACAAAGTCCTGAGAAGGTTGGTTACTCTGCGATGCGGAAAGCAGGAGTTACGACAACTCCCGCTGGATACGAACATGATCCAGACGATTCAGCGGCTCCGCAACCCGAGCATCAACCCGGGCGCCTACACATTGGAGATTCAACCTCGGCCTGGAGAAGAGGTTACCGAGAAGATTCCGATAACAATGTCGGATAGCAGCGAAGATGAAGAGAACGCGGACAACATCGACTCCGACGACTCCATGCACCAAAAGACAGCGGCACCAGTGAAGGGACCTATACCGAAACGAGGTAGATCGCCGGTAAAGCAGATTTCGCCGACTCGATCAGCATCCCAGCCGACTAAGCTGCCAAGTCAACCGACGACTGAGAAACCACTTAGGTTCTCACCTCGGAACACCCCAACGAAACCAAAGAAAACCGAAGAAGCGATGGATACAACATCCCCTTCGGAAGCGCAAGTCGGAACCACGGTCGAAACGTCACCACAAAGGGACGAACCGACCTCCGTTCACTCTGGCCCACGTCTAACAATAGACGAGTCTCGAACGAACGAGTCGACGACCGAGTCGGGTAACATACCGACCAAACGAAGCACGGCCAAGGAGAAACCACCTCAGGACTCGTCGCGGGAATTTCATGACGACCTAGCCCTACATTATGTAAAGGACTTAACGAGGTCGGAACAGGATGCCTGCATCGACATGGCATACCCGGAGGATAGGGAACTCTGGCACTCGTTGAGAATCCGACGTGCCAGTATAGTTGGAAACACCACGGAAGCTCGGCGTGACCACGACCGACTTACCGAGAAGATGGCCGACGTGATGAAACGAATGGGAGAACATTACCGAGCGGAAAGGAGCCGACCTAAAGCCCTACAAGCGGCTACACCGACTCCACGCAAAACCACCGCTCCGGAACCCAAGTCGACCAAAAAGACGGTACAACAACCCGTCGTTAAGATGAAAGTTCCCCCTCCGACCAGACAACCTTCTGTCCAGATCGACGACGATCAGGACACCAAGGTCATCAACTCGGCCAATTCCGCAAAATCCCACAAGGATAAACGGAAGGCCAAGAAGGAAGCAGCGAAACAGCCTCCTAAACCGCAACCGACGGAAGTTCTGAAGAAACCAGTCAAGCCGGAGGCTAAGGAGCCGACCAAACCGAAGTCGGACTCAACGGTCAAAACGCCTAGACCTAACCCGGCTAAACGACACAAGTCGTCCGACGACCTGGATATTTCGGATGCCGGCCCACAAAGGACCGCGCAGAAGGAGAAGGCACAGGAACCGCACGACAAGGAAGCGGTAGAACGGAAGTTCCAAGAAGTCATGCAACGAGCAGGCACAAAGCCAGCTAAGACTTCAGGAGGTCGGCTACGAAACCCACCAAAACCACCGACTCCGCCTGAACAATCTCAGCCTTCCACATCGAAGCAACAGTCCGATGTGGAATCCGATCAGGTCTCGGACATTGAAGACAAGGACTCGATCTCCGACCATGGAGACGGCGATCCCTACGAAGGGTACAAAGGCGACCTAAAGGAAATGTTTGATCACGGAGCGGACACGGACGAATCACAGTGGCCAGCCCCGGACGATGTACGCGAACGCCTCCCAGACGAACAGCCGGACGATCCGGTCGACACATTAATCCGCAAAGTTCGAGTACACGTCGAAGTTACCCGTAGTATACGGAGCGCCAAGGAAAACGGCAAGGACATCTACCAGTCCTTGGTACAGGACTTGTCAAACAACGTACAGGTCGAAGGCGAAACCGGAAAATGGCTGACGCATCAACTCATGATGCAGATTGTCGCCTGGACTTTGGACTACGGATTAGCAGTCGCCGTTCACCGACAATGGGGACGGATGGCTGAGCTGATCCAACCGGACCTCATAAAGTCACTTAAAAGTGCAGCGGCAAGAAATGCGGACGATACACCGACTAGAATAGCACGGTGCATCGGATACATTCGGAACCCTCGCGGATCGAACTTGGTCCAAATTGCCCGTGTATATAACGTGATGTACATGGACAAGAAGGGCAACATCGATGATATTATCAGCCATATAGAGGGCCGAATTGAAGAACTGGTCACCGCACACACTCTTCAGACGACGAACGCGGAACGCGACGTACCGGTGAGGTATACCGTGCCGAACTTCATCCCGGAACAGCATCGGCGTGAATTCAACCTCCGGATGTCTTACGTCAACAAGGACAAGCCTCCGGCCGGCACGGAACCTACCGAGGAGTACAGCGACTCCAACGAACAACCGTCGGACGATGCAGCCACCTTGCTGCATATAGCTCGTACGGCTGGACAGTCGTCACAAAGACGAGTCCAAGCCTTGACCCGACCTCGAGCACCACACGAACCGACAACATATGTCGGTACGGCATCGGCTCCGGCGGGACGAGCAAGCACAGCCAAACCAACTCGGAGTGCGAAGGGACGGTTCATACCGAAGGACGTACAGTCACTCCCACCGTCCTCGCCTATGGAAATTTCGCCGGAACCAGAAGATACCCAACAGAAGGGAAAGTCGAAGTCGACTAAAACGAAGTCGACTAAGCCAGCTAAGAAAAAGGAACCGAAGTCATCCGAGCTGATCTCGTCATCCGAGGAAGAAACCGAAGACGAAGACGATGACGACGAAGATTTCCGAACACCCGGAAATGGATCGCCGAAGGATGACGACGACGACGACGATGGAAACGGTAAACCCCCACCACCATCGAGCTCGGCACCGCAACAGCAGGCCGAACCGGAGATACCGGCTAAACAACCTGAAGAGAAGGATAGCGGCGACAAGGCCGACGATTCCAAGAGTAACGAAGACGACGGCGGAGTATACGTTCCTCGTCAGTACGGTAAACGAGTACCACTGACGCCCGACTCCGACCACCAGCCACTTCGTTCGGACTTTCATGAGGATATGATAGAAGTCCTACCAGACGATATTCCCCCACTGGTCAACGTTAGGTTGAAGTATACCGGCATTAAATCGGCTTCGAAACCCAAGCCGAGTGTCTCGGAATATGACGCCGGATGGATGTATACATTCGCCGCTCTGAAGGCCTTGGCCACACGTGGACCAAAGTTCGCCACACCAAGAATCGCCTTCAAACTCCTCCAACACTGGAAGGTAGATGAAACGGGCGATTGGCGACAACTTAGCCAGAACAACGTGCGACACTACTGCGACCTAGGATACCATGCAGGGAAGTTGATACGTACATACACCAGCGGAAAGCGGATGTACTACGAGTTCCCACCGGCTAAGAAAAGGACCCGGCTCCTTCAACATATGAAGGATGGATACACGCCATCCGAAGCGTGCATGGAAATGTCCTGGCACCCTGACGGACTTACCCGCGGAGAAATACTCCACCAACTTATAGCGCGGTTTGAGTTCCAGTGGACATCAACGGAACCACAGCTGGTCGATCCCAAATACAAGGCCAAACCGGACACGATTGCCGGACGGAAAAAGTACTCCCTGGACGACGAACTAGAATTCGTCATATCGAAGGCACTCTACCAACAACGATTCGCCACTAACACCGATACAACCCAAGGCGGTCAACGGTTTATCGCCTTAAATCCATCAAATCACCGACATGGACACTTACCGAAGGAACGACCGACCTCGGCACAATCGACCGAGTTGGCCGACTCGCACCAAGCAAGTCGGCTTGGGTCGCCAGAAGCACCTACACGGGAATGAGGAAACGCAGAACGCGTTGGGAGAGAGGCATAACCGACCTCCTCCCAGTGACACCACATAGGCGTCATCGACCAACAGAAGTCGACTTACCTCATTAGACGACCACAAAGGCGTCTTGGACCAGTTCGAGAACCGACCTGGCCCGACCGTAGTAATTATAGGACGTAAATTATAGGATGCAACCGAGAAACGGTTTGCTGACTTTTGTTTTGACAGACTCGTACGGAAGAGCCCCGAACGGAAGCCTTTACGGTGGACTGCCAACAGTGCATGGACAATGCGACAAGGGACAACAACAGAATGCCCTGCGCGCTGTGCATCGTATCCTTCACGAACGAACGAATTTCCGGCACCGGAGCGCAACACCGTGCTCAGGCGGCGGCACTTTACCTAAACGTTGTCGCTGGCAATTTGAGTGCATACCGGTACTTGGCCGGCAGAGAATACCTGATTAATCAACTGGAGTCATATGAACAGGACAACCTGGCTACAATTCAGCGACAACGAGCTCGCGACCCGAGATGGGAGGAAACTCGACCACCAGTCCTAACAAATAGGCTGTTCGAGTATCGTCAGATGTTGGACCTGCAACGTCAACTTGACGACCAGAAGAAGATAAAGGAGGTCGATAGGAAGATCGCCACAATGCGAGTCCATCCACCACCGACCGATTTCGAACCGGAAATAAAGATTCGGGTACAGACACCCACACAGGGTCTCCCGACAGTCGGAGAATTAACTCCTACAATACGTGATGTCTTCGTCGGAGATTCGAACCGACCGATGACCGGCGCATCTATAACGATGATGATGAATATGCCGGACGGAACTCAACAGCCAGTTACCTTCACACCGGCAACTCAGGAACAGTTGATGGCAATCCCACACAGGGCAACGCCAGTGGTCACACAGGCCCGTCCAACTGTTTCTCAGCAGATTCCTCAATCCGGAATCCCTGGAAATCGCGCTCAACAGCAGCGCCGACCGAGCAAAAACCTTGCGGGACATGACCTTAGACACCGGATCGGCCCAGTTGACCTTCGAGACAGAATCGAAGCGCAACGAGCCGTTATCCATGAAGCAGGAAAGGAGCCAACCAGAGCTCCACCAGGGAAACGTACTGGATCTGGAGAAACGGGGATCGGACTTACGGTCGACTTAACAAATAAGTCGAAACGTAACGTCATCCCACCTGAACAACGGCCGGAAGCCCAACAAGCGGAACCACCGGCCGAAGTCCAATCTGAACTGGCAGCTCAACAGGAGCAGATGGACGTCGACGTAGCCGACCAGATGGCACAACTGCCACAGGTGGAAGTGCCGACCCGAGAAGACCCTCGCTATGACCGAGCTCGACAACAAGGAATCGAGGTCGTCATGCCACACCCTACCGAAAGGACGAACCATATTATGAACGTCATGAATTACGAGGAACGGAACCGACCACAAATCTGGCGGATGGTAGAAAACCTTCGTCAATTCCTCGTCCGATCCGGATACCAGACGCTGTTCGAACAACATCAGTGGCGGTCCGACTTCAACATGAACGCGCACACAGCGCCGAATGTTGAACACCCGTACACCAGATCGAATGCGTTGCCGTCGATGACCGACCCGGTCTTGCTCAATATACCATTGTACAGCCCGGACGGAACACGTGCGAGCCAACTAGGAGCTCGGGAATACTCCCATGACGAGTTGGAGAGTGTTGCCCAGTTCGTCATCACGGACGCACACCCAGCCTTTGTAATCACCGCGGCTCGGGCAGCACTGGATTTAACCCAGCATCTTCCGGAAGGAGAAGTTGACACGGCCCAGGACGGAGTCACGGCATTCCTGCGATTTGTCTTCGCAGCCCGACTTGGCAATTATTACTGCCATTATACATTATACGGCTTGTACCAGAATGAGATGATACCAGCGGCTGTGGAAACCCTCGTAGCCCAACTCGGCACGCCAATGAGAAGTGTTATCCTAGCTGTCTGGATGCGTGACTTGCTGTACACCCACGAACGGTATGCGACAAAGTATGCCTTTCGTGAGGACCACGTAGACCCCAGCGACGATGCAACCCGATTCATCAGCTGGTACCGCGAAAAGAAAACTTTGCCTAGCGGATTCAACTCGTCGCCCTACGAACCTTGGATGTCGGATGACATAGCACCCGGCGCACGACCGTTCGCGCTGCGGCTCCGCAAACAAGCGGCCAAGGAATCGAGGAAGAGCAGAGCGGAGCGCCCAGGCCAGGAAACAGATGAGACCGACGAGATGTCTCAACGGAGCGGCCCGGCGACTTGTAAACCTAGGGACCCGAACATACGGCCACATAACCGACCTGGCCCGGACGATGATGAAGAAGAAGATTACTTCGGCGGCGATAAACCCGTCGAAGTTCCACTCAGTTAAGATCGAGTTCCCACACTGGAACTCGATCCCCCATTGGAATAACTTCAAGGAGGCATTGCCGAGAAACGGCACGGTCGAAAACCGACCTTCCGACTGAGAAACAGTCTAGCTGAGAAACAGCGCCGTCGAGAACCGACTTTGGAACGGACACTTCTCTTTAGTTCTTTTTGTGGAAAATGACCAACCATGTACGCGGCGGACGTCAACGACGATTTTGCCAGAAAAACCGACTACACAAGTCGGCCGGATTCTTTGGTCGGACCCGGAAACGTGTGGTTAGACCCGGGTATTTCGGCTCTTTCACCGTACCGGTACGTCCCCCAAGGAATCCCCTGGAACGAACTGGGCAACCGACCCCAGTTCCCCAGCTTGGCAAAAACAGATCGTAACCACATCTGCTAACAAAGCAGATCGTCAACCACGTTCTGCGACCATCGGAGCCAACAGAAGCCCCAATCCGCGTTACATGGAGAATACTCCGGCCAACCGACTCCGGAGAAGAAACCGAGAGGATTACGCTAACATGGCGCGAAACACGTGACTGCGCGCGTTTCACGCCATGTTTGCCAAGCACCCGTGGCCAACTTCAGAACCGGGTAGCCGAGCAGCCTTCACCATTGTAAACAGCGGAAACCCCTCGGCCGAGCCGCCAACAGTGCAGGAAGACTCGGATTTGACTAGGTACGGGAGCCGACCACAAAGGTCGACTTCGTACTTTGCCCATAACTTGGAGACATAGCGGATATTGCTGCGCAAGTCGACCACAAAGGTCGGTTGTGCAAGCCGATCACAAAGATCGGTTTTGGAGACCCAAACTGTTCGACCTGTAACGATGCAGATCGTCGACTGAGCATATGGTAGCCGACCAACAAGAAGTCGACCATGGACGGAAGCTGGCAGTGGCAACGTGGTAACTTAACCGGATTCTCCGGTTGAACCCAGATCTACAGGAACTCAACCAGGAACCTGTACCTGGAGTCCAACCGCAGTCTCCCCCGGATGATATCGGGTAAACCAGCCGATTCACCGGTGACCACGACTACGCGCGTCTCTGAACGTGCTGCCATTCCCTGAAGAGGAACAGCGACGGTGATTTGGATACTGGTGTACCAACGACTCCGCCGCGACCTGCTTCCCCATGTCTTCAATGGAACATCCTAGGCAGACCGAGTTAGAATACTCGCCCTGCACCCCTTTAACCAATCCCCGATGTCGATGCCCACTTGCCCGCAACAAGTACCGGCCAATTGGACAGCGGCACCGGCAAAGGAAAAATTTCCCCGTGGACATGAGTCGTCTACCCCCAACAGAAGCGGCTAGGCGTCACAGGTTCGCGACAAAACAAAATGGAAGAATCGGATCTGACGACCTCAGGGACTTGCATGTGCATGAAGTTTAAACCAAAGAGCTCGGCTCGGCGACCGGGGCCACAAAGACCCTTAGTGTTGTGAGCGAGCGCAGTGCATGATGAAACGCCAGTCAATCGGCCAACAGACGCCAAGGAACTTCTACCTTGCACGACTCGACGGCCTAGAAGCAAGTCATTCGGATTAACCGACCTCAACAGTAGCTCGGATCCGACCTGGAGTTCATATCAGAAACCACAGAGGGAACGGAGTTGTGCCGCCGAACATCCTTCTGCCAGTCCGAACTGACCGTAGGATGTCCCGACACCAAGGACCCGGCCAACTGTAGCCGAACGCACAGAACTCCTAAAACGAAGTCAACAACCACCAGATGGAGGCCGGAAGCAAGCGACAACCAGTCGGAAAATTAACCAGAAGTACGAAATCGACCTCCTAGTGAAAGCATTTAGCCTTTCGTCGGATAAAACACAAAGTTTTTCTGACTTGAGGAAGTCGGAAAATAGCCGACCTCCGAACTTGGACATGGATATCCGACCTCTAGCTGAAGTCGGAAGTGACCGCACAGAAGTCGGAAAGATACGACAACAAGTCGGCAAAGACATTCAGAAGTCGAGAACCGACCTCCTAACGGAAAAATCCGACCTTCGGACGGATGGAAACATAGTTCATCCGATCTTCCGAAGTCGACCATAACCGACCACATGTCGGCAGTCGGCAACTTAGTCAACATGACGGAAGAAGAACGACAGATATCTGCGGTGGACGAATTCGACTTGAAGGAACTTGTTTAGCCCCACATGGGCATGTTATTGCAGGTTAACCCTAGTCGACCACTGACGGATAGGATAACCGACCTCGACAAAAGGTCGGATAACAACGGAACAGATCGGGTGGAAGTCGACTGGACACTTCCATCGCTGAAACTCATAAACTCCGACCGGACCTTCGAGCCAGTTCGACTCGGATAGCCCCAAATCAGGCTCGTGGTAGCAGATTGAACGGTTGTAACCGACCACTTTTGAACGGAACTGCTGTACATGACGACCACACAGGCCGCATGACTTACATACAGCCTTTTCCGATCTGGACTTTAAGAATTCGGAACATAGCCGAATTTCCCCAGCCGCCGGTCGACTTACCGGTAGGCCGACCTTGGTCAAACCGACCTCGGTCCTATTCCCCATTCAGAGAGGATGCCTCGGCATTTGCAATTGCAACAGTGCCTCTCTACCCTTGACGGACGGATACGAGTCGGAAGTAAGTGTTTAACCGTGCTTACCCGACCTCGGTGAATGTAACCGGTTACGACGGGTAACCCGGGAACCGATGCCCCGGACCCAACTTCACCGGATGAAAGTTGACAGGAGACCCCGTGGATGTCATCCTAGTCGGAATAGGACCCCCGGACAGATTTTTGCATTTTTTTAGCATTTCTCCTAACAGATGGAATTGTATTTTTCTAGTTCGATCTCTTTGACAGATCTGTTTTGTAACCCCTTTGCTCACTGGAATTGTGATTAAACTTTATTCACTTTCTTTCGCGCTGCATAAACTTTCATTACATTTTCTTTTCACATTGTTCTCCGCTGCCAACAGACGCAAGAAGCCAAGCCAACAGAAGCATCACCGGTCCAACGAAACGCCCGAGCGGCTTCCGGATTTCCCGGCCGTGAGTGGTTTCCACTCATGGGTTCGGAAGTGAAGAAGGGACGGTCGACCAGACACCGGACCCCCACTGCTAGAGGACGCGTACCGGCGACCCCACATGGGTCCGACCGGAGAGTTGTGCGGTACTGGTGCGGTACCGAGTCGGAGCATCCTTCGCAGGAGCTCGGATTCCCGCCCAGAGGCATGTCAGAGGCACATGACTGCGCCTGGTGCATACGGCCCACCATGGACGTACTGCACTCATGCTTGCCATACCGCCTCTCTCGCTGTACGTACGTGTGCTGCTGCACTGCACTCATACCCGCTGAAGCGGATATATGCGGCGCACACACTGAGCATACTTGCTCTCTCGTCCCTCTCTTGCTGTATGACTCAGCGTACGCTCGCGTTGGATTGAGTCCAGTCTGCGCATCATCACACAGCTGATGGCACACAGCACGTGTTTGCCGCCAGTTGCTTCTTTCACGTCTTGACGAACGCTCAAGAGCTCTTTTAGCATACACTTGCTTGTTTAGCCATCAGTGCTTTGTTCTTGCTTTCCTGCTATTACGCAGCATTGCTCCCTTTATTTGTCAATAAAGCATCACTCGTGATCTCCTCGCGCTTGCCTGTTACAGTTGGTTCTTCATTAATTATTTGATCACAGAATCAAAATTATAATAGAAAAGATATATGCAATTGAATTTCAAAGCTTTGTAATGCACAAACATATGGCTTTCACTTACAGAATAATAGTCAATTAGAAAATGTATTATTTTGTCTATTTTTTTAATAGTTTGTGCGTTTACAGTGGGCTGCGCATTGCATAATGTCGATTATAACTTTTTATGGCTGTTACAGAGTATTTACCTAAATTTATTATCCATTTACTTCAATACTGAAGTACATTTTACAGCGCGTGCATCATGTTTACTTATCCTGACTCACCGCATTAGGATTGCGTTTGTTGTAGAAATAGTCCGATGCATAAGCCACAAACGCTTGCGGATCATCTGGTATGTTGTCCCTTCACCATGCATAAATAACGAGACATTTTTATTCTGAAATTTTCTGATGCTTTTTTCTGAAGTCTAATACATGTTCTCTCGTATATATGCTCTCAGCCAAAAAATTATACCGTGAGATATGTGGCCGAGATAATCACTTACTGACTTACTTTAAAAAATGATAGATAAACTGTTTTAGGGCTTTTTCTAAGGTTTTTGGAAGGAGCTCGGGGGATTCCGGTTTATCTCCCAGTTTCGCTGATGACGCCATTTTTCGAATATGGCAATGAGTGATGAAATATTACAAAAACTGCAGTATTATTATACACCTTGGTTTACGACATATTTGTTTTTAATGCAGTTTTTTTATTACAGATATACACTAATATAAAACTTTCCCACAACTGAACATGCCTGGGAAAGCCCGCTGTATGGTTGCTGAGGAATTCCTTGCCGTCATCCAGACATTGCACCATATTACTGTAACAGTTAAGATAACAATAAAATCACTTCAAATTTTAATGATTTTTATGAGCATTATTCCGTACCGATCGTTAGTGAAAATTAAAAAGCGAACACGAAAAACGCGGTGAAAAGTTGAATGTGCAAAATGTTGCGAAGTAAATGGGCGATAAGAGCTCCATGGGTGTGAAGTCTCTAAAGGTCATGCGTTTAGCTGCTTTAAAAATTTCCGCATCTTGTCAAAAACAAAACCAACGCACAGATTATATGCGAAAATCGGATTAATGATTCACGGAATCACGCGACAACAAAGTAGAACACTAATTAAAAAATAATATTTAATTTGTCGACAGAATTATTGCTTGGTAGACTACCGCGGAATGCTGACGCAAATGATCTGGGAATAACCCCCAATCCGAGCACTAATCCCGCCTACAGTGCAGAAAGCTGGATAAAGACGATTTCGATCCCGTAACTGGGCGCTGATTAATCCGATCCGCTTATGTATCCAACGCCGCGGAATCCCCGGCTGTGGATGAGGGTTGTCGGCGCGTCTTGTGGTCATGCTGGCTGCTGGTGGTATGGCTGTTCACCGTGAAGTTGCCGGAGACGATGGCCGTGCCGCGTGCCATCCCTTCCGTGGCGGGCGCCACGTTCTTCTTGCCCAGGCCCAGGACATTACGGTAGCCGTCGCGGAATTTCTCGTTGGTCATGCCGTACAGGATGGGATTGACCGCGGAGTTGCCGTGCGCCATGACGATGGCTAGCACATACAGCCAGCCGGGCACTGGTTCCGGTTGATGGGCCAGGACAAACAGGGCAAAAAGCAGCCTACAATTAAAAAAAAACGAAATTAGAAAATGCCGGCTCGCTTCGCTCGTGCTCGTAGGGACAACCGTGGCATGTGACGGGTGTGTAAAACTGATGAGAAAAATGCGCTCAATCTGCTCGATTTCTGCGGTGACCTTTAAACTTGAGACCAAGAATCTCAATGCAAAATACCGGAGCACATAATATAGAAGTATAAGGAAAAAAAAAGGCCAGTCAAAAATTTACATAAAAATTTCAAAAATTAACTTGTTAACCAAAGAGATCAGTATGTGTTGTATCATTATAATTATGTTGTATATATATAATATAGTAATATACGTTGGATATCATCTTATCGGCGTTTATCTGATCGTGAGTAAGATGCGTTAAATCGAAAGATGTTTTCTCCATTATCATTTTATTTCTGTTCCACGTTTTTACCTTTTACTTTTGTTTAATGATTTATTCTTCTTCGTATGCTGTTTAAATTTCAACTTCAAATTTATTAATTAGAATAATTTTCTGGATTACGCGGTAGCGTGTTCGGTTCGGTCGTGTTACGGGGAAAGTTAGGGTAGAATTGTTGGCGTCGTTCAGCCGGTTTTTACGTACCAGCAAATAAGAAACACCAGAAACGCCGCAAACAGTGTCTTGGCCAGTTTGACATCATCCTGCGTGAATCCCGGGCGTTTAGGCCGGCGCATCGACTTTCCATTGGTCGCCGCGTGTCCCTTTTCGTCGGCCAGCGGCTCCAGGGGAAGCGATCCCCTCTGTTCTCCTGCCGCCGCTGGGTGAGCAGCACCGTTACCCAGCACCGCGCTCTGGTGTTGGCGCAACTGGGTCTTCACACTGCGCACTTTCAGGAAGATGCTCGTGTACCCGTAGAGCACACCCACCAACGGCACTACCACACCCATAATAACTAAGGGAAATACCGTTAAGTATGCCAAGGAACTGGGCGCAACATAAGTCGGTACACTTACTGTAGAATATCGCGTAGGAATGTGTGACACTACGAGAATAATTAGGTATGGAATAAAGATATCAAAGGTCGCATGCATCTAATCTACTCAGACTTGGTACAGATCCCAAAGGTCACCACACTACATTAATATATATCCTATCAAACCTACATATCGAACGTGCAGATGTAGTAGTCGACATTGAATCGATTCATTCCCCAGCCTGAAAAGTAGAAAAACCATGCGATGACCTTTAGAAGCCCGGAATACGCCAACCGTTTAATCGATGTACAACACGCACCGAGGTGATTGGGCATATGGAATAAATGCGCCCCGATCCAGATAGTGAGGCAGCACAGAATGGACGTACGAAAAGTGAAGATCTTGTTGTACAGATGCGGTTTGCAGATAAGAACGTATCTAAAATGTATAATCATTGCTATCACCAACCTGGTAAAAGCGGCAGCTGTCTACAAATTTAATTCGGATAGCGTTTCCTACAGTCATTCACGGGACTCATCGATCGCGGTTGATCTATTTCAGGAAATTTTAAAAAATGGCAAGCGGTGTCTGCTGAATGAGAGCAGGAAAGCATCGTAGCGGAAGAGAACTTGCCGTGCAAGATAACACATGCCTGACTACAGTGACTACATTTCCGGTGCAACCGCAATGGAGCACGCAAACTTATAACAATTCTCGTACCATCTTCGCTATACCATGCGATCAACACGGGACCGATCACGGATGTGGTAGCGTAATAATACCATACGTAATGATAGAAGTAAATCAGCATAAAATTAAATACATCCGTCCGCAGAACATTCATAAAATAATATTTCTTTGGTTTTCTGTTGTCTCCCGGGATAAACATGAAAGGATCTATTTAGTCGCAGGGACGTGATCGGTCCCGTGCGATCAGACATTAACCTTGAACTGAGCTTTTTTTGGTACAAAATGGCTTATGTAATGGTCAACATTCCATTTCTGCTGGTAATGATTAGATTATTTACAAATAAGGGGATCACATGATTTTGATCATTCAGTTGCTTGATGTCATTTTATAAAGCCGAATTACAGTAGATCGGACTCAGATAGCGCCGGGATATAAAACACATGTGGAGAACGCCTAAAGGTCAATTGTAAAAAAGTCTTTTTATATACAGGATACTTACAAACGGTTTATTTTACTTTCCTTAAGATTTTATACGTTTTACTTATATTAAACTAAGTGACACACACACACATAAATAACAGAAATAAATAATTAATATACGTGTATACTTTTATTAAGTGTGCCCAGGGTTTGCATATTTAGCGTTATTATCATTCGTCTTACCGGTTGAGACTGATGGCGCACCTACAACACAGCAACACAGTAGACAAAACAATCAGTGCTCCCGAACGTGGAACAGCAAAAAGCTTTAAAGATGTGAGCAGTCAGCGAATTACTTACAAAGATTATTGTCCTTAACGGACTGCGCATGCGACAGTAGGTTGATTAAAATCGTGGGTGAGTGCTTTAGTTATAGCGATTAACTACGCTATGTCAATATTCTTGGAAAAAGATTAGTCTTTCGTTCCAAGCGGATAGAAGCTGCAGTGGACTTACATATTCCACATGGATGACAAACACGCCGGTGCACAGAAACTAGCAATCCAGTCGCACAAAGTGCGGTTGTGCAGTAAAACATTGCGACCGGCCACCGCTCCTGTTTTAAAACAACAAATTGATTAAGAAGTTGTAGTCTTTCGTTGACTGGTTTCATCTTGATCAAATTGTAAAATATTTAGGTAGCATTTTTGTAACCGAGTTTCATTATAAAAGGTCATCGCCACTTTGATCTGTAGCTACACTCGATAAGTCGAAGCGTTTCATGGCTTCCGTTATGTTTAACGTATACACGCAAGGATACCCTAACAAAACCGGCAAATAACCAACACCGTGGCACAAGCAAGGAATATTCTTGCTCAAAATAACACGATGATTCACGTGCTAAGTATCTGTATCTGCAGGTTATCTTTGGTAAACGGCTAAATGAATTTGGAACTACTGCACTGACGTAAAAGATATATGGACGAACTGAAAGCTGGATCATTCTACCACATTACTGACGCTTGTTTGAATGGGCAGCGACGCGCTCACGAAACGGTTTAAGTCAGCTTCACTTACCGACGACATTAAACGGATCGATGAAGGCGGTTATGACAATATCCGCCAGCGCCAGATTGACCACAAATACGTTGCCGCTGGTGCGTAAAGGCTGCAAATACACCGATATATTTCGGTCAGTAATCGAGCATTAATCGTCATTTATATCTGTTCGTTCTTACCTTCACTAAGCACACAGCCAGAACAATCTGTATTAACAACGGAAAAATCTGCCATTAAATCATTGAGGAAGCTAAAGGTGTGTGTGGAGTATCAGAAAGCAGACACCGACTTACCAAAAAGTTACCCAGTGTCCCAATCAGCGCGGCAGTACCGATGACCAACGCGGTGATGATCTTCCAAGCTGCATAATAATCACATTCACCTCAACGCTTATTAAAAGCTTTAAAAGTGTTTTACCTAAATTGTGTTCAAGATACATGTACGGCTCCGCGACATGCGAATGTATACAGCTCCCATTGGTCGAGGCATTCGCACCACTGCACAACCGGTCAGTGAAGTTGACCGTACGGTACGGGTCGGGTGCGCCCCACATATACGGAATAACCGGCATTTTTTATAGCGTCCGTCTGGCGATTTACACGAAGCGCAAGAAGGAATAGCAAGATTTAGCAACTTGGTCGGCGATAACTTGAGGATGGGAATATTGTGCAAGGTGCCAGACAGGATGTTACATCACGGGTCCGTTGTCACCATTCATTGTACCATAGATGTATGTCATCGAGGTATTTATGAAGTGGATGGAGTTTTACAGAACCTGACAGGTATGCGGAATCTTTAGGTGGCTGGCAGCGGTTATATAGGGAGATTTTTCCCAAAGGTGACGTCAAAGCTTAACACATGGCCGAGCCTGTTAGTAATTTCAGCCATAGATTCTGTACGACAGTACGTATAACTGTACAAGTACAAATGTACCAGGCTGATAGGTACGCACTGTTCCACAGTGCGTGCTCACATGAGGCACGGTACAGGAAACGGATGTACGACAGTAGTACTGTCAAGGGAGATTAGACATCATCGTGCAGGGAAGGCAGGAAACCTTTCTTGGCCACCATCTGCTGCATCTGTCTGTGAAGGGTTGCATTGGACATTATGTCAAGTCATAAGGTTGGTTAATCATTTGCATTTAAAACCAGGCATCGGCCGATTTGTGTTAATGGCAGTAGTACGCTGTTCTTATTTGACTGTACGTACATTACAGTTGCACATCTTCTTATAATATTGTACCTAGTACGTACTGAGTATATGTCACCGACAAGCTGCGGACATCCTTTGGCAGCTTCCGGTAGAGCTTAGATATGAACGGTTAAATTAGGGGAAAGAAGAATCAGCAGCGTGCTGAAGTCATGTCCTTTCGATGTTCTGAAACACAGCAGTATTTGCTCGCTTCAACGAGTGGCGCATAAAAATTCACATCGCCATAAATTTTACTCATTTGCAAGTTCAGCTGTCTATTGTACGTGCTCCGGCAAAAGACAATAACCGAAAATTAAAGTTTGCACTCCAGAGTTCCTTGCATGTTCTTGTACCGTTCTCCTTGTTGGATACACCGACTATAATCATCATGTCGAAATCCTACACGGACGATTAAATTTGAACTGTTAACGCACAGCCACAGTTGCTGTACTGTGATAATGTAAGTACAGTTTTTGCGCAATCGAATTCTGTGGCGGGTACCTTGAACCACCTTTACAGCACATTTCCTTACCTGAGAGGGCTGAGTCATTTGCCGCATTTCGGCATATCATGTCCACTTTGACAAACGGAAAATGCAGGCATTGCCTCCCAGTGAAAACAATACACTTGCATGGGTTTCGAATTACTGATTTAAGATAATGATAATTTGCATCGAGCGCTGCGAGATGCCACTATTAAGCAGTGTTCAAGGTCAATCCCAATTCCCAAGGAACCAAGAGGCATAACTGGGGTGAGAAATGGCAACCGAATCAAGAGCACAAAATATTTGTCTGGCGCCAAGAACAGCGTATGTCACGCTTTTCCAATTCCACAATCCCAATACCATTTCTCAGTGATATTGGCACTCGCGCTCGTGCATTAATGTGGTTTGCAATCACCGCTAGTATTGTATAAATTACTATGTGAAAAACACCACCGGAGCGTCATACAAGATGCATACAACGTCATAATTATAACAGTTTACACCACTGTAAGTTAGGATTGCGCATATAGCATGAGATCGATAGTACATACACTGAACCATTCCCACGTAAAATCGTGGTACGAAGCGAGTGCCCACAATGACGACGCTCCTTTCCGTCTCACATAGATATCAACCAGCATCTGTACGGTTGTACATTGTGAAACCGGACATAGACGTACCGAGCAAGGCGAACATCTTGGGAAAATTGTTCGATCAATAGTCGGTACTTTCCTGTTTCCGCTGCTAGCCGGCAAAGACACACGGTGCGATAAGCATACTACAAGATTATGCAGCTTAATGGGAGTCGTTATCCGCTAAAACTTGTGATTCAAATGACCGATCAAAATTTTTAACACCAGGTGGTTGTCGAAATCAGTTCGCCCGTTCAAAACCCCCCAGGTACCAAGGAATTTACCGCTTGACGCAAGGAACTGAATAAGTACGAGACTGAATAGACTGTATACGGTAGGACAGTATTGCATGTGCATTGTTTGATTCACCGAAACTACCAATCAACGGAAATTACAGTAGGCAATTCAATAAGGACACAGCATCCAAAGCGTCATGACACCGTTTTGCAGGCCACAGTACCGGGGTACCTAGAAAAGCACCTACACTGTCTCTGGTACGCAGCAAAACTCTGTGGAATCGAACGCTTTTGTGATTTTGATCAGTTGAGCGGCCCCAATGAATCACTGGAGTCTACAGCTACTGTAACTCGCAGCCTTAGCTGTACTTGGTTCCCTTTTCGTCCTATGCGGTTTGTTCTGTCTGATTGATCAGATGATCGGAAATTAATTTTTTAACCTTCATGGAATCGCGGGTGGGTACAATAATTAGTAATTTAATAGTGTAATGAGTAATTTAATACTGCAGTTCAGTACATTGTACAGACCTTGATGGTCTGGTTCGGTAAAAACGACCTAATACTCATATGCGTTTACTTAAAATGTGGAGAAGATCGGTTCATACCTAATGATTTTTGGCGCTTCTGAATGAATCTTAAGCATTTTAAAATTTCATTCTATTCATATGTTGCGCGCACAAACGGTGTTCAAATAAACAGCAGAGACGAGTGATTGAGCGGAATCAGACATGAACAGCGTAACATGTTATATTTTTAACGACACAATGAATTTTTATGCCGGTTTAAAAGTTTCAGAGAGAAGGCAGACACTCAACCACCAACCAGTACTAAGTACGAGTAGTTACGACAATACCTTTTAAGTGGCAAGTAATAAAACTTTTAAGTGCTCTGTACAGCAACAGTTACGAAACTTGTAATCAAAATGGAAATTACCATCCACGCCAAAAGTTTTAGTGCCAACTGCCAACAGCCGCAACTAGTGTTACTGTAAGATTACATGGACAAAGAATAGTCGATTCTTGTATTAGCAATCGGAACAGTTCCAATAGACGGATCCTTCAGCAGCTCCAGCACCAGCTGGCGGAGCCAAATCGGGAACGCCAGGACATTGTTCAAGGTCAATCCCAAGGAACCAAGAGGCATAACTGGGGTGAGAAATGGCAACTGAACCCATCTGTGACAATTTACCGACAATGCATTAAGGACATGGTCGTACAGTTTGGGGTAACAACAGCAACACATTCTCGTTCCGACGTACCTATGATTACTATCGCGTGAAGCTTAACCAAATGTTACTGGGCTCATACAAAGCTTATCGTTCTTTCATAAGGATTTAGGGTGGGAGAGTTACTTCGACTAGGGCTTCTACTTCAGGCACAGTTTTTACTGTATATATTTATTACTTATGCTTAAAGGACGAGCACTTAGTAGATCTTTTATGCGATCTTTCCATACCATGAAGTGAAGCTTGGGCATGTACCGGTATTATTGGTGTCCCGTGGTTATTTAGTCTCTTACTACAATGGATTTTCGTACCAAGTGTAATGGATTTTCGTTACTCGTATACTCATTTTTACTTTCTTTTTACCTTTTCCTAGCTTTTGCTTTACTACTTTTTCGATCAATGCATGCTCTGATGATGAGTCTAGACTCACCATCAAAGCGTGCACTGACCGAAAAAGGTATGCGTAAAAGGGCAACCATCTAACACAGATCTGTGTTAGACATTTTCCTGTATGGATTCACGTACCGGACACCAGAGATACGGTATTCTCGACGTTATTCAACATTACAGAAACCGTTCTCAAAAAAACATGCGCTCAAAGCGCTTATTGCAATCTGAAAACGAGAGTACCTCCTGAGATATGATACCAGTGCTGTATGCGCACCAACAGGATCGTCCGACTGCAGCTGCTCTCTGATGAATTCCTCCTCGGCGGCTGATAGCGCAGCTGGCAGAAATCGTCCAAAGAACGCCAACGCCTGCAGTGGTACGGCTTCAACCGGATCCCCTGTGGCACACGGCCAGGAACCGTTCTCCGGCACAATTATGGCTTTTTCCACGGCGACTTCGAGAACCACTTGGGGCGGAGACCGGACCGGATACGTTCCCGTCGAGACATGACAACGCATGGTCGCATTCTCCAGATGAATGGCCGTAACGAAGTAGGGCACACGGCGCAACGAGTTGACACACAGATGGACATTCTGCAGTGTCAGCACCACATCCCTCATGGGTTCGTGCTCAGGCACCGGCAGACCCAGGTTCGCCGCGAAGCTGTAGTCCATGGAGTAGTCAGCCAGAACGCTCTCCATCTCCTTCTCCACATCCGACCAACGATACTCCCAGAACGAGGTGTGTATCATGTAGCCGAGGATCCACTCAGCGGTGGGCGGCGGAGAACCGGCGGATCGGCGCAGGATCAGCAAGCGGGTCTTCCGAGTGAGGAAGCGCTTAAGTAATGATTTACGGCGCGCCTCGAGTCCTGAATATTAAGTGTTGGTGGAAACATTAACGGACGGTATGTGGCCCATTTCTGCAGGTCAACTACGGTGGATTTCTGCTGCGTGTCGGTCGCCGTGATACGCTTCCATCGTCGACAGACCCTACGGTAAAAAACCGTATACGAGTATAGAACGTATCGCATAGAGATGTAAATTAACCACATACGGTACATTAATACATAAATCTTGAACCGTATTTAAAAACACACTGAAGCACCAAAAGGTCAAACAGCAACAATTTCAACCAACTCTGAACAGTTGCTGAGGTCAAACACGTCCAGAAACGAGAAAATGTGCACTACACATTCTTGAGGAAGAGTATGAACGTAGCAGGGAGACATTCCGGAATTGCTCGATGAATTTTCAGCCATCTCTTCAAGAGAATGATTATGAATGAAACCGATTATAAAATTCACTGCTACGAGTCTATGACAACTTGACTCAAAGAATATTCAATAAGTATTAGCGTTGTGTAAGTTATCTGGATTGTGTTAACTGGTGTCGTTCCAGTTATCTGGAACGACACCCCATCGGAAAAGAAACCTCGCGCATTGGCTCGGTTTCGGTACCCGCGTCCAAAGCCGAATTTGTTGCCGGCCGCCGTCGTCTTTAACAATGGCCAGTTCGTTTTCTTCGCCACAAAGACATGAGAAGGACTGCCCGTCACCGCCGGCCGTCTATTGAATCGGCGGCACTGTTCCTGCGCATTGTATTTTCTCGTTTAGGTTAACCTTTGAAAGTGCACCAAACAAGCACGAAGTCACCTTGTTTCTTTAAATACGTATATCGTTTGTATTTGTAAGCACTGTTTGTAATTTTCTATAACATTTTGCTAAATTGTCTTAATTACAGTACTAAAGTACTGTACTTCTAAATCGCCGAGCAGCGAGCTTGTTTTGCGCACTTTCTTCATTATCCAAATTTTCTATGAGTTCGATCGACTTCGGACTTCCAACTCAATCCAAGCCGACTGTGCAGTGCTCATCATCGTTCTACGGAATGCGAAAATTGTGTCGTTCGTTTTTCTCGCTACATTACTAACCAGTTTCGAACTAACAGCCGCATTGACGATTTTATATCCCTTTCAAATCTTCCCAAAATTACGCTAGGTACATACCCCGTAGTGCATGTGCTTTCGCAGCGCTGGTTATGCAAATCGAGCCGAGATGCGCCAGGAGCATTGTTCACAACTTCATATTGCAAATTTCAGTATTAGTAATAGGGTCCTTTGATGCCTATAAAATAATTACAAAAGTTCCGGAGTTTGATCTAATTGTGTTTACTCCAGATTTTGCTTATAAGTTGCATAGCTGTGTCGTTGAAGTACTCGTTTCCATGTACGGCATATAAGAATCTGTCTGATTTGATTAATATAAGTACGAGGACGAGCTTAGTACATATGATAGACAAAAAAACTAGCGAGAGAATCTGATAACCATGCCCGGCCCGTGCAACACGGGCAACCACCCAGGTCTGTCAGTGCTGGTAAATACATCACATTTAAATGATTTAATACAAATAATCACCCCAGTAATACCGCACGCTTTATTTCTTACAGTAAAACTTTGACTTTGTAGAACCACATGTGAAATTTCAGAGTACTCACTTTTTACCCATTCTGAAAGATTTTTCAATTTTAGTCGGAGTATTTGTCACATCGCTAAGTCCGCTACGAGTGTTTCTTTTCGCTTATTTTTCTTCATCAGTTTTTCTGCTTCCCGTTGCTCGAGCGCTGCGATTACTTTACTGTCAGTCGCAATAAGCCCTGCTTCGGCGCGCAGACGAGAATCTTTAAGTTTTCTCTTTTTCTGAGGACGTCGCTGGCAGGTTCCTCCACACAATTCTCACTCAACGGTAGGCCCGAAACAACGCTGATACTCGTGAAAGAAATCTCCATCGCAGGTGCAGAAAACAAACTGGCAGGTAGCCGTACGTCGGTGATATTCTCAATTTCTCATCGTAGTACATCTCGCCAGATGAATCTTTATATTTAGATGGTAATTTTATAACATTACTATCAAGAGATTGGTTAATTAATGTCAGTCACTGGTTACTGGAAATTTTGCGGAGAACCAATTATAAACAAAGTTATAAAACCAAAACAAAACTCGCATTTAAATTTCAATACGAGTGTGCGTTACAGTAAATAGCAGACCGTGTTCAGCTAACGGCTGCGTGACGGCGCGCGGCTACCGCCAGCCTAAGGTGGCTGACAGTGTTGCACAGCACGCAAATGGTTATCAGATTCTCTCCCTAGTTTTTTTGTCTATCACATGTACTAAGCTCGTCCTCGTACAGTAATAAATTTGTGAACATGACGTGGTTCCTGTACAATAAGTGCCGGTATTAAACACAATCAATTCCAAATTTAAACCAATGTCGTGCTCTGGGGAGTGTATTGTATCACTGCATAAACAAAGTAATTTACGAAGGTCTCAAGAGCCTTTACAGCTTCGCCTAATCCTGTAAGTGGATCGATCGATTAGCTTAGTCTAGCGTTAAAAATAATCTCTGCACTTTATAACGCCGAATCTGACGATCAAAAACAAGGAACTTTGGTCATTCGTTAGTATTTTCCAAAAACCACCTGCACGCTATTAGATAAATAATTAAATACTGTTAAAATATGCTGCTTCAGTGAAGAAACCATATAAATATTTCCTGCCAAGTTGAAATTAAAGTAGCCGGCGCTGTGCGTTAATAACTTAATAGGTAACAAATGTTTTACAAAAAAGGCAAATTAACGTCGCTAGACAAGCAGCGTTTTACCGATTCGGACAGGTAATTCTCTTACGTTTACGTTTACGTAAGTATACTCTTATATTTACGTCTTTTTTTTACGTTACGGACAATTTACTTAAGTATACTCTTACTTCAGTATTTATTTTGTTACTCTGTATACACTGGTAAACCGTAAAAATTAATACTGTAAGTACAATTTTACAACAGTACAATCAATATACACTACACCATTTGTGTGCCTTAATTTGCTTCACATCATTTGCGCAGCAAGATCCCAAACACCGGGTTTATGTCCTTATGACGTCAACAAATTGGATGTAAACCGAAGCCGCACGGTGTAAATACATGCTGACAACCATCACATTACGCGCAATCGTATGCTTGCACAGCGGTGTCCAATAGCGTAAGATAAACACACAATCCGTTACGGGTTAGGGTTTCGGCTTTCCCTGATGGAGAAAACTGGGAAACGGGAGGAGTGCGTAACGTTTCTCGGAATGCGGGATTATCTTGACGGTTTTTCTCTGGTCGATTAAGCAGGACCATAACATCCTCGCATGACCCCGGTACTCAGCATTCATCACCAGATAGACAACCTACAACCAGACAGAAAGAATACATTAACATCTTATTTAATTAGGACGGCATTAAAAATATCCGGACGTAATCCCTGATACCGGCACGTTCAAGTTCCATGATCAACGCCCTTATCTGTCCGTACATGATCTCAACACAAACGTCGAAAATTAAAAGAATTTATGTAAATGTTTATAGACACGTTGCAGTACATTGACGTGTAATATTACATTTATTTTTATAGCTTAGTTTCATTTTGTTTTTAAAGTATAAAAACTGCTTAACAAATCTAATGGAAATAATCAGCTTAAATAATGGTACGTCATGTACAGAGTATTTTATGTATTGCAACTTTGTCAAAGAAAAGTAAATTCTGCGCTCATGTTAAGTAACTAAAGAACGAAACCATCCAGTAAATGTACCGGTATGGTCGCGTATCCAAACAGCAGCAACGCCCGCATAAACAACGGCAGCAGCATCTCTGACGTGTATTCCTTCGGGAAGAGGCTGGACGCGATGGGTGCCGGCAGCAAACAGCACGAGTACCACAGATACGACACAAAGAGCATCTTCACATTACGGTAGCGCCGTGTAAACATCCGCTGCGCCCCTCTCGACATGCCGTTCTTTTGCCGCCGCATCCACACCGACCGCAGCGCCACCCCGCCAAAGATCACCGCGTACACCACGCCCAGCGCCCCCAACGGCGAGAAGACACACACGGTGACGATCAGCGGATATACCACGGATCCGGGATACACCCGCACCCCACAGGTGCCCCAGGGCGTGGTGGGTTGCCATCTGCATCCCATTTCATTGAAAATCGGCAGTTTACACGATAGACCAATCAGCCATGGCAGTGTCACCATGACCCCGGTGACAATGACATTCCCGCTCCATTTTGTATAGGAATGGGGTAAAAAGATGGCCACAAACTGGTTGATCCCGATCAGCAGGAAAGTCCAGTTAACGGCGTCCAGTGATAGGTAGTACCAGAATAAAGTGTGCCGGCAGAAAGACAGCGAAAGGTCAGTGTAGGGCGCTACGGCGTACGTGGAAATGGACAGTATCGACATGTGGATGAGGCATAATGTAGCGTTAATTAATAGGAGATGTGCAATTAAAATTCCCGTTCCACAACGGAGTTTGCGGGATGCAATTATGGGCAGCATCAGCGATAGGTTGAGAATGGTGCCAAATAAGGAAAATGTCAACATGATGATAAACCATATGGTAAAGACGCTGGGATATAACGTCCATCCTGTAGCCAGAAATGACGAAGTATTGATCGAGGAATTAAGCATTTTTCTCAGTCCGTTATAAAAAAATCTTGGTCAAAAATAATTCACATATTTGTGTTATGAAGAGGGTTCGGTGATGGAGAAAAATTTGCTTTGCGTGCGTTGTATGAAATGTCAAAAGGATTCACTTCCAGGCGTTCCGACTCTTTGGGCGAATTACACGCTAGGATTTTTGATATTGAAAAAAGGAGTGCCTAACAGTGCCTAGTGCCTACCTCGAAAATTACAGCTTGTTAAGCACGATTATCCTCTTTGAGGGAAATGTTTACTGGAGTATATGTTGTCTCAAGTGGGAACAAGTGGCTGGGCTCGAGATGCGATGCCGGCTAGAAAGAAATCAATTAATGGATTTTCGCCGGGTACGGACTAACGCATAGTTTATATGCACATACCGGTATAAGCTATGTTGATGTTGCGACGCTGGTGTTTGCTGTTGCATCAGTAAACGCATGCCGCGGCTAATCAATAGTTCGGCTCATTGTTGAAACGTGTAAAAATGAGGCCCATATATCTGTGACGCATGCAGAAAAAAACTGAACTTTAAACTTCGAGAGATATCAAATAGGAGCACGCCATTGATGCCTAACATATTCGCATCGAGCGGGCTATTCTGAAAGCGCCAAATGTATAAATGTCAGGGCCAGTTAAAATAACAGTGGAAGAATTATATCATACTACTGCTGCAGTGTTATTCATGGAGGTGGAGAGTATGTTGCATAAGATGGTGGCATTTACATACGGCGACAATGTACAGCTGTAATGTATGGATTGAATTTAAATTGCACAACTACCGTAAAAAGTAGTCGATTATTACGCTTCGACGGGTACGGTACGCTGAGCGAGAATTGAACGTTGTAATGATTTCCTATTTGCAGCACGCGAGGGGTGGTAGTCGGGGTCAACGTGAAACGCATACTGCGGATGCGAGGGTACAACAGCACGCCGAATGCACGACAAATTGCAAGTACTACATATGAAAAGCTATCGAACCTTCCTGTAATGCATTGTAGGTCATTTCTAAATTATAATTTTTTGCCAGCGCTTCATGCGATAATCAGAAATGCCGTTTATCCACCACAATCAGTACTTGAGCCTTATAATATGTAGGGTGGACTGGTGGAGTGCTGAATTACTGATTGTGGTGACAAAATATAATGTTTCCGTGCAAGAAGTGGTCGTATTTGTATGAGACTATGAGTAGTTTGATTATACAAGCCCATCCAACAATTCTTTGACCGCTGTAAGCGGGAATAAGCAGAACATCTCATCAAAAGATGTTCCCATGTTCTTTCATCGCCAGTAAATCTGGCGCAGGTGCGAGTGTATTTCTTTTGTCTTAATGGTCAATGTTATTGGTCAAACCCCTTTAAAACAAATGGAGTGAATTATGGATTTATCTTCTGGGGGAGTTGTGCCACCCACAAAACCCTCTTTTCCCTGCCAAATTTGTGGATTTATTTGCACAACCAAGAGCGCCTTCACCAACCACACTGGGAGCAACAAGTGCAAGGAAAATGTGTTGCGTCGACAGCGCGGATTGGATCACTCGGCCCCCGTAGAAGCCTCGGCCACGGACTACAGCTCCAGTCTTCTAAATCAGGTGAAGTTTCTTAAAACCAACTGTAGACTGGTTAAGCGAATACCTAAAGGGGCACGTAGAGCAGTTGCTACGGCTCTCACACATGTAATTTCTCGATGTGTTACGGAGAATTCAGCGCAGTCGTGGGAAGCACTGCTAACTTTCGCTTATTATGTTTTTCGTCTGCCGGGAAAAACCAAGAACGACCGTAGTCAGTCACTTGCTACGCTGATCAAGTCGAATATAGCTAAGTTTGAGTCAGGTGTAAGAGATGTTCCCGTTGCACCCACAAAGCCACAACGGTCTTTCGATTTACAAAAAATTTGTGCAGGAAAAATTCAAAATGGCGACGTTTCTGGTGCTGTTCGCGTTCTTTGTTCCGAGGACGCCTTGGCACCGCGCACAGCAGCCACTTTCGCTGAATTGCAGAAAAAACATCCGGGTGTTAACCCGGATGCTCGCTACCCACCATTGTCATCTGCTCAGAGTGTACAAATTAGCCGTGTAATGCAAAAAGAAATTTTCGAAGCAATTATTAGCTTTCCAAATGATTCAGCTGGTGGTCTTGATGGATTTCGACCACAACACTTTAAGGACCTGATAACTAACATCGCGAATGACAGTTCCGCCCAGCTGTGTGAGCAGTTAGCACTGTTAGCAGATCTCATGTTTTCCGGCCGTGTTCCCAAAGAAATTTTGCCAGTACTCTACGGGGCAAATTTAACAGCGCTGAATAAAAAAGGGGGTGGGATAAGACCAATAGCAGTTGGTAGCACAATACGTCGTATTGCAGCTAAGATTGTGGTGAAACGTGTACAGCAGCAGATGGGCGAAAAGCTTAGACCAAAACAAATGGGTTTCGGTACTCCTGGCGGTTGCGAGGCCGTAGTACATGCAGCACGACGTTTTGTCACGACACCTGCAGATGAAGTGCAAGTTCTCGTAAAATTCGACTTTCGCAACGCTTTTAACACAATTCACCGTGATAAGATGATGCAGTGTGTTCAGTCAGAGCTCCCAGAATATGCCCATTTTGTTAACCAATGTTACCGCGATCCCAGCAGTCTAGTTTTTGGGGAATGGGATATTCAATCCCAAGCAGGCGTGCAACAGGGAGATCCTTTAGGCCCTTTACTATTCTGTCTATTAATATTATCGCTAATATTGTCATTGGTGTCGCCTTTGAATGCCTGGTATCTGGATGATGGTATTGTCGGTGGCAACCTAGCTGACTTACTGAGTGATATTGCAAAAATCACTGCCACAGCAGAAGAGTATGGCCTACAACTAAATTTAGCTAAATGTGAATTTTTTGTATTCGGTGGCACATCAGAGGAACGCGAAATCGTACGCGAAGCGTTTGCTAAGTGCCATCCGGAATTTCTGCAGCCTGCTGAAAGTGAACTATTACTGCTCGGCGCTCCTCTTTTGCAGGCGGCGATTCCTGATGCAATTCTCCAAAAGGCTCAAGATCTACAGAGACTTTCCTCAAAGCTAAGTATACTGCCTGCACATCAGGCTTATTTCCTTTTGCGGACGTGTATCTGTGTTCCTAAAATGAATTATCTACTTCGTGCAAGTCCAACCTGGCTGTGCGGCGACGAATTAGATCAGTTTGATAGCGTGGGCAAATCGGCTTTAGAGGCAGTCACGAACGTTAAAATGGATGGGTTAACGTGGGCTCAAGCATCGCTCCCCGTTTCCAGTGGTGGGTTGGGGATCCGACGTGTGGCAGAACTAGCAACTCCAGCCTATTTGGCTTCGGTTTATGCCACATCATCCGTGGTCTCAGACATCACCACTGCAACGGAGTGCTATGACTTGGTGCACCAGTTGTGGCAAACAGCCTCGGGTGCTGAGCTACCAGCGGAAAATGTTCGGCGATCGCAGAAAGTGTGGGATGCCGCTTTAGTGAAGAAAACTTGTGAAGTTATTGTGAATACTTTCGCGAATGACGTAACCCACTGTGCGCGTTTGCTTGCAGTTGCGCAGCCGGAATCGGGAAATGGCTGAACGCTCTACCCGTGCCTTCTCTTGGAACCTTGATGTCGGATGAGAGCTTCCGTGTAGCGGTCGGACTACGTATTGGTGCGCCTATTTGCAGTTCTCACCTGTGCACTGACTGTCGTTTGCCCGTGGACGAATTTGGCCATCATGGGCTCTCATGCAAAAAGAGCGCAGGACGTTTCATGCGACATTCGTCTTTGAATGAAGTGATTCGGAGAAGCTTGGTAACCGCTAATACACCGGCTGTACTCGAACCACGAGGGACTAGCGACGTGGATGAGCGGCGACCGGATGGTGTATCACAGCTGCCTTGGAGAAATGGAAGGAGACTTGCCTGGGATGTGACGTGCGTGGACACGTTGGCCCTGTCTAATGTAATCAGCAGCAGTACAAAGGCGGGTGAAGCGGCCAAAAAAGCGGAAGAAGAGAAGCGCCGGAAATACGAGTATTTAGCTGACGAGTACGATTTTGTTGCGTTAGCTTTGAGACCTTTGGTGTCGTTGGCCCAGCATGTTTGAAGTTTCTGCGCGAACTGGGCAAGCGGATAATGGATGCTACTGGAGAACGACGCTCTTTCGAGTTTTTGTTGCAACGGCTTAGCATTGAAATACAGCGGGGAAATGCGCTGTCTGTAACGTCGACCGTTCCACGTTCGGACGGTCTTAATGCTGTTTATTTTGTTTTGTAATGTTCCCGAATGTGATGCTTATAACTATGTTTGCCAACTAAACCAATAAAAGTAACAAGCGGGAATTTAAAGAAACGTGGGCTTGAGCCATTTAATGTGCTTCGACACGTCACGCCACAGGGGTCTGCGTATTCAGCGTAAATAAGCAACAAATCTGCATGTGTTGCAGTTACTGTATCTGTGATATACAATGTAATATGTTTAGCATTATTTATTGCCATCATAATTTATATTAATTTTATGCTTTTCTAACGGTATTATCTTTGCTTTGCAATACAATATCGCGGTGGTACTTGATATCCATATTACTTTCAAATTACTGATTGCAACATGCCCGGGCTAAAGATGATTGATTCCACGTTGGTCTAATAATGGTCTATTAATTGTGATCTAATATATTATTATTGGTTGAATATTTATAAATATATCTGCCACTACACTACGATGCGTATTTGCATTACTGTGCGCGATTTATATGCGCTGCGCTTACAGCGGTCAAAGAATTGTTGGATGGGCTTGTAGCTTGCATGGCTAATAAAAAACAAGACGTTTTCATGGGATTTAAAGAAATTTCGCTCCGGTACCCGGGTGGCCTTCAGCGCAGTTTCATGGGGAATGGTAAAACGTAGCGAAGACTCCGAAGAGAGTGTAAAAGCTGTACGCGTAGAAATAGGACGTACATACATAATAATCTGATTACGGTAACAGCGTTAATACCAGGCTGTCGCACATTCAAGGGAAGTTTTGTTGCACTGGCTGTTGGTTAATTAACGAATCGGCTTCACCAAATATGGTTGTGTTGCACCTTCGGTTTATGAAAACCAGGGCAGTATCGTGAGTGTACCAGTGTACCTACCATACATATGGGTGCAGTTAGCTTTGTTGGCTACCCTAGGTAAAAACCATGATATTTATGCCCTGAAAACAAATCAGCTGTTATTCCGCACCGGGAAAAAATCCTAGGCGCGAGATACGATCACGCGAAAGCTACCAAAATTCCGCGCACCACCCTACTGCAGAACGTTATGCAACCAACAGGACCAAAATCATCCACTGACAGACGGAAAATTAATTACCCAGTGCAGTTTGGTATGAAAAATGAGTATTACTGTAATGTACTTGGCTCCTGCCTTAATTAATCTGATACTTGATAGAAATATTTGGGTTGGAATCAATAACGACAGACTGAATGCGAAAAGAACGAACCGTCCGCTCCTACGCTCCAGGGTTTACACTTTACACATTATTTACTGAAAACGGTAATTTTCTTCCGTGTCAGCTACGGTAGTTGGTGTATAACAACTAATAGAAAAACTAGTGTAACATAATAATTATCATAAAATATCAGTATAGCATGCCATAGTAAATATAACAAAACGGTGAATTAATAGCCCTAAATTTCGTTCCGAACCTGCATGCAGTTGAAAGTAATAGGTACACTGCTGCTTTTCTGAAATACATTATATTTTTATTGTACAGTATTTGTACATCTACACTTTGCATGTGTAAATTTTGACCGCGAAAACGCAGTCATTTTACACGAAATTGCTGATGTTGCTGTTTATGTCTTATGGGCACGTCGAAAGTTATTTTTTCGACGTGCCCATAAGACAAATTTTTTAAATTTTATGCATTTGAAATTTTTTTTTATAATTTCGCTTTCTGTTTAGTTGCTACCTTGATAAAAGCAGCTGGAAAAAGCCAAACAAGCAGCGCTAACGGTGAATATGTGTTTTTTAGCCGATCGATGTCGGTCTCCATACGCCATTGATTGACAACGCCCATACTTACAATCAGGCTAGTCCGCTCATTAGAAAAGGTTGCTTATGCAATTAATTTATGCTTCGTTCAGCCCTCCGGTGCTTTTCTGTTTTAATATTACAAAAACACTTAGCGCATTTAATGAGCTTCCGGCTGCACAATTTCGTTTCATCATAAATACATACTACGCCCAGACTGGATGTTGCAGTTTAAAATCTTCGGCGAAGAATTTTGGTTAAGGACCGCATCAACATTTCCCATTTCCAACTGCAAAATGCGTTGCGCCCTGCAAATCATTACGGCATTGCTTGCGGTGTTATTCTGCATCTGGACGACTGCGGTAAGTGTGGTCTTGACCCTGACCTTTCTGAGTCATTTCAGTACTGCCCGCAAAAATGTGCAAGTTTACTGCAGAATGATCGAGTATAAGACAGCAGCTTATTACGCTCTTTTAAAGAAGTACTCGTACAGATACAGATAGTTCTTTCGCTCATGAATGTAATTGGTTATTGGTACTAGTAATACAATAACACGAAGATAGCTAACCATCGTACTACTAAGTTCACTAAAATTATACAACGAAGAATGCCTTTACAGATACTGCACATAGGTACTTTACAACCTTAACGTTCGTCGTACGGTTTTGTATCGTACAGTGTAAAATGTTCATGTTTCTGCTCTGAAAATTCTTGAAAATATTGTATAAATGAGAGTCAGCCTGTCATCCAGCACGCACTATTTTGCAGGCAGCAGCCGACAATTACCGGGTGGAGATCCAGCTGCAGGAATATACCAACTGGGCGGACAGTGAAACGGATTGCGGCCCGTCCCATGACACGACACTTTACAGAGGCGTGGACAGCAGGCAAGTCAGCAGCGGCCAGTTACAGTCAAATGCAACACATTGTCCGTTCATATTACCTAGTCGTGTACTTGCAACCGTAAAGGCTGACCACAAAAAAACAGTGAGTTTCAGGTTCTGCACGAATGCTGCAAAGGAGTGCTTTTATGAATCGCAGACCGACGAGATGCAGTATTTCAGTTGGCGGGCGTTCTTGTCGGAACACTGCAAGAAGACATGGTCACTCAACAATACCTTTTCTGTTGATTTCTGCAACACCGATTTTAAACTATGTGCTACACCAACAAAACCAGGCAAGCGTTTAAGAAACCGTCTTGCTGTCATCATACAGCAATTTTTTCGTAAAAGTAAAAATTTCTCTGTTGCAGAGAACGTCCCTGGAATTGGTAAGTCGAAGCATTTCAAGGCAGAGTTAGTAACTCATAGCTCTGAATTATGCACATAAAGGTCAAAAATGGCGTTGAATTAGAGCAACATATCGTGCTGCATGATAAACGTACCTCCTAAAGGTACCTATTACCTAGAAAGGCAGAACGGCCTATGTGGCGCTTCTGGTGTAAGAGTAATATGAATAATATGTCTACAGAAATAAAGTGTATTAATTTTCTTTTACGTTTCTCATTAGCAGCATTCGCCCAATATGACGTAGTTAAACGCATTTTCCGAATGCCGTCAAAATTTTCGGCACGATGGTGCAATACGCCCGTAGAAACTGCACATTAAGCGAATACCGATAATCTCGCAGATTTGCACAGAGGTGATATCTTGTTCTTTAGAATACTAGGCATGCCGTGAATAAGGATGAAGAGTTTGTATCCTGTTCTACATCCAACGATGCCAGCCAGCTTGCAGCAGACAAAATGTCGGCAAAGTGGTCGGACACTGACTACTGCTATCCGGGAGCAATGTAAGTGCGACTATCATTACTGAAAAACAGGCGCTACATACAGTACGAATGTCAGAAAAATAATGGCGAGGTTAAGAACTTGAAAGCGGTGATACTTGAACGCTGCCCATAAAGCCACACTTACAGTACTGGTGCACAGAGCGATTTATTAGCCCTGACCTATGCCTGCTCTGTTGCACCGTTTATGTGCAACACGATGCAATCCGATTCCGCAGCGATTAAATGCACAAGTTGAGGGCGATTTCCAACAGGGAAACTGAATTTTGTTTGACAGCTGTAAGAACGCCATTGAAATAGGTTCCATCTTATTGTTAGGATACAGGATACGAATACGAGCATCGGCTTTCTTTAGAGTGTATGTAATACATTCTTATCGTATCTACGTAGATTCGAGTACCGCTGGCGCGCCTATAAAATCTCCCAAAAGGAGTGCGGTCAGGAAGCGAAAGCCGCTGCTGAAGAAGCGAAAAACTATGTCTTCATAACGGGCTGGGTGGCCACTGATCCCGATCCAGACCGAATCCGCAAAGGGGCAAAAGCGCATTTTATTACGGATGCCGGCTCCGGCGAGGAAACCATTCTAAATACCATTACGGAAGCGTTCAAAAAGAAGTACGGTACGTTGTGGGCTATAATGGAATCGCAGAGTTGGCAAAGGGAGTAAAGTAACCCGATTATTTGGTCTAACGATTGATTTTTCCTCCACAGGGACCATGAAAGTGAAGACCAACGCCATTATAAGTGCCCGTGACTGCTCAAAAGCGTTCTACGATATTACGACAGAAAACTGCTCGGCCTTCCAATATAGCATAAAAGCTGAAAGCAAGAATAAGAAGGTGAACCAGAAGGTTGTCAGTGATGAGTTTCTCGCCGCCGTTAAAGCCGCGAAAATTCCCGGGGTGTTCACCGCTTGTAAAGACAAACCCTGCGCTAAGGCCTCCGCCGAACCGGGAGAATCAAAGAAAACTTAACGAACAAACCTTAGAGGCATCATTAGTTCAGAACTGAGAACACGAATGCTACGAATACCGCCGCTACGAATACATATAAGGTCATCTCGCATGTGATAAAGTCACCAGTTTTCGATTATGTACACTAGCACTGCCACTGGGTGTTGTGGCGCTAATCTCAGCAAAACCAAAAATACTGTTAGGAAAATATCGTTAGTTGGTTGTGCATTGTAGTGACTCCATAATTTAGAGCCCTGCACGAGCCGAGCCGCTCGGCTCACGAGCGCTCGGCGCTCGCGAGCACTTCGAGCGAGCAGGCGTCGTTTTGCGAATTTGCGAACGAGCTGAGCAACAGAAAAAAAAATTGCGAGCGAGCCGAGCGAGCGGGATGGTCCGGTGCGAGCGATCGCGAGCTTACAGGCTGACATTGTGCGAACTGGAGAAGTTTCTAGTACAAAATTACATTGACCGACCTGAAAACGGTCTTAAACCACCGTCACCTTCGCGCTTCGCGCGAAGTGACTTACTAACTTTCCTAGACCGGTTGGGACTCAGGGCGGAGTTCTGATATTCTGTAGCCAACAAAAACATTATTGGACGGGTTTCTGAATCAGTTGAATGCTTCCTAAGAAAGGTGCGTTTTGATTTTCGGGCGTTCTATTATATGTATTTATTTTAGACTAAATTAAGAGAACTACATCCAGTTGAAAATTAGAGTAAGGTACTAGCAAAAAAATGAAACTGTAATGAAACGGACTACCAGTATGGAGATATAAGTGATTGTCTCTGAACATCCTGTTACACTTAATGAATTTTGTGTTGGTGAAAAGTTTGGTATAATTAATTCGTGCGAAAAATTGATATGTAAATTTTTGCCGATCTCACGAGCGAGCCGATGTGCCAAAATAAAATTACGAGCGAGCTGAGCGAGCGGAAGCAAACAAAAATTGGAAAACGAGCGAGTTGAGCGAGCGGCGGTTTGGGCGCGAGCGAGCTGAGCGAGCAGGACGTTTCAGAAAGCTGAAACGAGCGAGTCGAGCAGCACTTTAGCTGCTCGTGCAGGGCTCTACTCCATATACACTATAATATGACATGTCACATGCGCAGCTAAAGAATGGTGCCCATGTTGCACAGCTGTCCCAAATGCCCACTCAACAACTTAATACTCGTAATATCTTTACATTGCACATTTTGTGGCATGCATTTTATCATAATTTACATGGTTATGCTGACGGCCTAGTACGATCAACAGCAGCTACTCGTACTGCATCTCGTATTTAACAACAGCTACTCAATACGCAATTACTAGTACATTAGTAATACATAGTTTAACAAGGCAGGTTAAACAGCGGTAAACAGACTTAACAAATCGGACAAGGGTAAACAGGCCTAACAAATCGGGCAAACATTTTTAATTTATATTATAAAAATGCTGTATACAAGTACTGTACAGCATAGCCGAACACAAATGTGGATAAAATAAATAAATTCCGTAAAATCTGTACAGTACGGGTATTTTCGTCTGGCTGTTCAAAGCATTTACAAAACGCGGGTGAAATACTGTCTTTTACAACATGGAAGGGGAAGAAAGGCTACAAAACATTGCTGGGATGCATCCTCGGTGGCTGTTCTGAGTGTTTTCAGTGTTTGCCGCAGTTCCGCCTGGATTAACCGGATTGTTCTGCCTTTGGTTTCCGATACTTCGATTATGTAGCAATACGCCGCGTAAAGCGCGAGAAGAACGGCGAAGACGACAAATGTGTATTCACCGATTGCCGGGAAAACGGGAAAAACCTTTTGTTGGAATTATATCAGTAAAAAGTAACCTTTTGGATGCAAATTTTGGTGCGTAAACCGGTAAATGCGAGGGCCGTAAACGGGAAATACTAAATTACAGGCCTAAAAAATCGCCGAAATCATACAAAACCGCCGGACAAGGAGGTCAGGTTATATGCTGCGCCAATCGCCAATCACTACTGGCTCCCCCAGCTGTATTGCAGTCAGCAGTAAAAATACTGCAGCCACCCGTAAAAACAGAATTTACAACTTGAGAATTGAGATCATTACGTGATAATAGAATTGAGATCATTACGTGATAGATCATTATGTGATACTTTATTGATAATTTGAAAGGCAGCCTTTCTGCGACGTATGTGTAGTGCCTTTTGATACAGAGTCTGTAGACTGAGTGTAGAGTGATTCCGCGTGTCTTTTAGAATGGCAACCAAAAGGGTTTTTGCTGAACAAGTTGGTCCAACTCCAACCAAAAGAGCTTTTGCTGAACAAGCCAGCCGGTCTGATAATTAGTGAGTCGGCGAAGTCCGCCTGGGCAGGCGACCGGGCGCCGTGAAACGCATTTAATCAAGGGAGCAGACAGAAATTCGTTAGACACACGCTCTGTCTAACTCTGTACTCTTGATTAAAAGCGGTGCCCGTTTTACGGTTTACGGCGGACTTCGCCGACTCACTATTCTCCTCAGCCCCCCGCTGGGAGCACCATACGGATTAAAGCGAGTAATGTGGATTTGCGTCAGGAATGGCAGAATCTTCGAGCCTCTGGCATGCTATGCGATGTGGAGCTGCAAGGTGGTGAAGCAGAATCCATAGGGATTCCATGTCACCGCAGCGTTCTCAGTGTTCACAGTAGGTATTTTCGCACCATGTTCTTAACGGGAATGAAGGAATCCGCGCAACCGATTATCCAGCTGCACAACATCTCCCATCCTGTTCTGTCCCAGTAAGTTTTCAATTTTGTCAGCAAGTTGTTCTGCGGAACGCTGCTGATTGTGGCGATGGCTCGTGCATTGCGTTCGTTCATGGCGATGCTGTTTTTGCTTGATTTTTCGTCTCCAGTGTCGTATGATCTTGGCAGTATGTATCCCGATTTCCACTGAGTATTGTTATGAGGTAACGAGATAATCTGGCAGATTTGATTGATTGTGCAGGTTGATTGATTTTTTCTACATGACGGACATTGTCGTCACGGAAGACAGCGTGCAGCCCATACTGGTGGCGGCTGCGTTCCTCAGTATTCCGGCCGTGGAGGAGGCCTGCTGGAAGTTTATGGAGGATCGCTTGAACGCCAGCAACTGTCTGATGCTGTACTGTTTTGCGGATTCCGATGCGCACAAGAATCTGGCCGTCGCCGCCAAAGCCAAGGCTATCACTCTCCAGCATTTTGCTGATATCGCGCAGGGACCAGATTTCTTGGAAGTGCCGAAGAAAACGGTAGGATATGCATTGCCAGCTAATGGCCTTGGCTTTGGCGGCGAAACTGATTGTAGCAAAATGGAACAATGTACAAGCAGGGTAATTAATTTTCGTGCGTAAAGGTACAGTATCCATCTGTATACTGTAGAGTAACCCTGCACTTGACAGCTTTTTCGTACGATATGAGCTGTACGACACTGTAGCACTGGCGAACGTTCAGCTGGCTCAGAGCCGACTGCACTGCACTCACATGTGGTGCCTGCCTAGTCTCAGGCAGCACATGTGAATGGTGAATGTGATCGTACAACGTACGTCTTTTTGAGCTGTAAAAAAAGCTGTCAAGTGCAGGGTTACTCTACAGTACTGTAGATATACAGGTACAGTACATGTCTGTATAAGTGCGATGCCGGCGCTTAGAAAGCAGCCACTGCACTACAATTGCAGCAATGATAAAATTAATTAGTTCTACAGTACGATGAATTATTATGACGAATAAATGTGATTGACATATTCTTCAGTTTTACATATGCTGATCCCTATTTGTTTTTTTTAACTTACCAGGTTACCGATCTGATCTGCTGTGATAGTCTTTGCGTGGCGCAGGGAAGACGATGTACTGCGGGCCATCGTGCGGTGGCTGCATCACGATTTCCAGCAACGACGCTGGCAGTTCTGGGAGATGCTGCAATATACTGTATTCGCTCGCACATCTTGAACCACAGAGTGTGTGTACGAGAAAAACGCGCATTCAATATACACACTCTAACCGGGCCAAACGCGCGATTCGCGATTTGATAAATTTTTGATGTCTTACAACATCTGGACTGGAGAACTTCTTGAATAATGAAAAATTAGAGCTCTAACAATTTTTGTCATGTTTATGCTCGAGCAGCCATTAACATACAGCTTTGGCGTAAGCACGAGTTACAAACGGATTTGTTGTGGTTTTTGGGGTGCCCCTGGAGGAGGGGTACGTTCCGCGTCAACATTCTTGATGGCGATGAACCACCGAACAATTCGAGCTTTCAGCCACAGAACCTTTTTTCCAGAGTGAATTGCCATTTAAATGAAAAGTCTTGATCTATTAAACAAATTCACAAGAAGAACTGTTCATCTTGAAACCAAATGAGGAATATTTCGTAGTCGTGCATTTTGCCCGGTTAGAGTGTGTATATTGAATGGGTGTTTTTCCCGTACACACACTCTGTGGTTCAAGATGTCCGAGCGAATACAGTATTCGGCCCACTTATCTCGGCCCGCAAGGCAGCGATGATTATCTGCTGGCCTGTGTCAACGCCTTCACGGATTATTCCGAAAAAGCGCCGCGTCCGTCAGGATATCTGCAGGCCTTGCCGGGATACACCAGCCAGGCATCCTCTCGCTACACTGCAAGAAAATCCTATTGTAAGAAGGCTACGAAGAAGTAGGAATGCGGTGCTTATCGTTGTCTGTGTTTAATCCTTTCGTTCGGTTATAAGGATGGAGTTATTCATTGGTGTTTCAATGTTTTGCGCGTTTTATGCTTCTTCTTCCTTGTGTTTTACGCTTTTTATGCGTTTTTATGCGCCGCTTCGCAAACGGGAAAAACAGCGAAAGCGTGGAAGATTTAGGAAAGTGTTTTACGTACAGTACTTTTACTCGTACCTAGAAGCATTTACGAATTCAACAGAGGAAATCAAAAGTATTACTAATACTTTTATGCAATGTTATGTTCTACATTATGCAACGTACGCAGTCAACAAGCAGTGATAACTTGTACTTTAATGTAGTTACAACTTACAAGCACAGGAACCTTCCAAGATACACTTTATATGTGTAGTCTTGTAAACTGTACACTTGACGGATCTCTCATTAATCAGACCTTAATAATCCAGTACGGAATAAGTTGCTGTACATACAGGCGATACAGCGGAACCGAACGCAAATAAACGGTAAAAAAAATTACTTATGTACACAAAACTATCCGCAGTATGGGTGTTTTTGCTGGCCATTCAAACGGTTACAAAATCCAAATAGAATATTCCACAAAAGATGCAATTTGAGGGAGAAAGGATTCACAAGGTTGCAGATACTGTTCACGGCCGTGTTCCGCGGCGCTGTAACAGCCGCTGTTTACAGCTTATATATTACTTGATCCATGATTATGTACAGACACTAAATCGTTGATACTGCCGAAGACATGAAGTAAGACCTTTAATTAACACAGTCTTTTGCTTGCGACCCTTCCAGCCACAATTTAATGCAAGTTTCGCTAATTTATTGAAAATAACAAAATAAACAGTTACCTTCAACCCCTACCCTACCCAGTACAGTACAAGAAAAACACTACCAGGGTTCACATCACCACATGACATATCGCATCTCTCCGCATTGCACAACCCCATCAAACGCCAAAAAAACGCCAGAAAAAGCACCATACTAACTAAAACATAAGAAAAGCCAAACAGCAGCAACGTACATACAGCACAGCCGAACACAAACATGGAGGTAAACGGTAAAAATAAATAAATTACGTAAAATCTCTACAGTACGGGTGCTCTTGCCTGGCCATTCAAAGTGGTTACAAAAGCGAGTATAATATTCCAAATACGGGGAGTCTTTTACAGCATGAAAGGGGAATTTTTGGGGAAGAAAGGATACAAACATCGCCGATGCACGGCGGTAATTGTTTACAGAGTTTGCCGTAATTCGGCCTGGATCTCCTCGATAGTTTTGCCTTTGGTTTCCGGCACTTTGAACCATGTGTACGCCACGAAGAGCACGAGAAGAACGGCGAAGACGATGAATGTGTATTCACCGATAGCCGACTGCAAAGCAAAATCAATTTGGAAGTCATTTTTCAACGGCCACATATTTTACATCTCCAAAATTTAATAAAACATTAATTTCCGACAAACGTCAAAATTCGTAGAATTCAATGTCCAAATGCAGCAATAATAAAACACAGGAGACGGCGGTTTAAAAATAAACCGTTTCAGAAAAAAACACAAAATTCGGTATTCGGTAAACGGTAAAACACTGTGAACGATGAGTAATATTTTGAAAATACGTATAAACCGTAAAATTCAGCAATAAGACGTAAAATGCAAAAAAGGTCTTCGAAAAGGAAAGTTTTTGAAAAGAGGTAAAATTTAGCATTAACAAAAAAAGCGGTTGTCGAAACGTAAAATATTTTCGAAAACCTCAAATATATCTGTAAAATTCGTACCTGAATGAATGGGAACGACAGCGCAACGATCAAGTTGCACAACCAGTTGACGCCCACCGCAATACTCGTGGCCGCGGCGCGCGGACCTTGCGTGAACAGTTCCGTCACCAAAAACCACGGAATCGAGCCTACAAAAACATGCCGTTACAATTCCCGATCAAATTCCATCCTTTTATCTGGCAATTGTTTTCTTTTTCAGCACGGAATTTCTGATAATTTTTCTCTCTCGCAAAATTAATCTCGCTCTTACCAGGTCCGGTCGCGAACATGACCACGAAGAGCATAACACACACCATACTGGCGTAGGCCGCCCACGGGTACATATTCTCCACGCCCTTGCACTCCTCGACCGTCAATTTCTGCCCGCCGCATTTGCCGGCCGCCTGTGAAGAGAAGAAAATTCCTGAATTTCTACTGCCGCTGTTAAATATTCTTGCAACAGTAAAACTGTTTAAGTATTTACTAAACAGCCATCCATCTACGATGCTACACCGAAAGACTACACTGAAATACATGGACGATTGATTCACATTTTTTATGGTGAAACCTACGTGCAAAAGCATGAAGACACTGAGCAGAATCGTCACCACGGCCATCCCCGCAAATCCCACCAACAACAGCGTGCGACGTCCAGCTTTCTCCACCAAAATCACCGAGATCACCGTCATCAGCACGTTGATCCCGCCCATACCGATGGTGGCGTACAGGGCACTGTTGCCGCTCATCCCGCAATCTTTGAAGATGGATGTCGAGTAAAACATCACCTAAAAAACGAGACCAAACTAGTACATTGTCATGGTTATTATTTTTACACATAGAAAAAATATTTTTTAGGGCGATTACAACACGAAGAGAGTTTCCGGGACATACCGCGTTAATCCCGGAGAACTGCTGCATAACCATCAGCATCATGGCGATAATGGTGCATTTGCGCAGGAAAGGATTGGCAAACAGATCCCGCACGGTCACCTTGGCTTCGCTCTTGGCCTTTTCGTGCTCAATGCGCATTTCATCCATCTCGTCCGCGACGTTATCGCTCTTGCGAAGACGCACCAATGCTGCCATGAAAAGAATAACATCACCAGTGAGTTTCCATTTTAATACCATTAACATCTCAATAACATTCTAATAAACGTTTTCATAAAGGTACTCAAAAATTGGTTAGAAAATCTAAAAAATGCAAGAAACCCGCGCAAAACGCAATAAATAATCGCTGTACTGAAAAAATGAATTAATTAATCTCTATTTCAAACAAATGCGCACATAAACCATGAAAAAAGGCAAAATTTAACAAGGGAAAAACACTGCCTTTTGTCAAGGGGCTTTCCGGACAAAACATTAAAAAAAGGTAAAAAACTAAAAAAAAGCAACACCCCTGGAGAAAAACAATAAATAATCGCTCTGCATTAAAAACGATTTAAAATCTGTAGTTAAAAAAATACACACAAAAGCGAAGAAAAGTGCAATACGTACCTTTCTGGGCGCCGACTTCATCGCCTTTGTCCAGGTACAAATACTTCGGGCTTTCGGGGCAGAACGGCAGCGTCAGCAACTGGTAAATGCACGGTACGACCGACAGTCCAAAGAGCCATGGCCATCCCCATGACGTTCCCAGGATGAAGGGGAGACCGAGAATCTGCGACACCCAAATGGCAATGGTGATAAACAGCTGATGAATACTGCCGACAGCGCCACGCAGCGACGCCGGTGAGATTTCCGTGAAATACATCGGTGGCACGCCGGAATTAATGCCTACAAGCAAATAAACCCACAATAAACAGACGTACGATTTTCTGGTTATCAAAATTAACACCGAATATCTCTTTAAAATGCCGACAAAATTATGCTATACTGTAACAAATCATCAACGTAACATAATCCAAATCAGCCATCTGAACTAAATAATGGGATAAGCAGTGAAAATTTGCTAAAAATTATTTTACTGATAACATTTTAATAAAGTGGAAGTTAGTTAAATTCACGTATTCTTTTTGCGCACACGAAACATTGTAACCGAAACCATTAAAATCGATAATCAAGTAAACTATCTAATAATTACAATCAGTCATCAAACGAATGATTATTGATTACAGACGATTTTGAAAACGAAAGAAATTTATGTACAGCGGAAAATTCACATGAGCCGTCATGCTCAATAACATTTCAATTAGTCCCTGGACACAATCAACCCCAAAACAAACCGAAAACAAATTAACCAGGAGGAGGCATGCTGACAACAGCAATCATTACCTGAATTGAGACCGGTAACAAATCGTCCGATAATCAGCATCTCGAAGGAGTAGGCCAATTTGGGGAATCCCAGCAGAGCGGCAGCCAGAAATCCCGTAACGAGATTCATCATCAGTGTACCCTTCCTACAGGGATCAACACGGGTGTCAACAGGATATCAAAGCCATGTATGCCATGATTTCCATTATGTAATTTGTAAACATCAGCGAATCCCATGTGAAGCGCTACAGATTGCGTGACCCCCGAAAATCGGTCAACAAGCACGGATCCATCAAACTGCTAACATCGTGCCAAATATTATTTACATAAAATACCAACAGCTTTAAAAATTTTTCATGGCGTATGCCATCGGAATTATTTTATCGAAAAGCTTGATGCAAATAATATTCAGTAAGCCCGGTAAATGAATAGCTATTTTTGTAAATTATCAATATTAGCTATTTTATTTTTTGTACTCTGTAACTACGATAAAAGAATACTGTTTAATTTTTAATAATTCTTTGCAAAAACTTTAATAAGTATCATCGTACGGGTACAAACTATGCACCAGAACAAAACGGCATTTACAAAAGAAACACTTCCTCTATGCTATCCTAATCGGGGATCGTCATCTTAATAATTCTTCATCTTTTGGGTTTAATTTCAAACTAACCGGGATTTTTTTAAAAAAGGCGTTGCAAATTAAAAGCTATTTATTTATATCCTGTCAAACGTTATTTTATTTCCCAATAAAGTATCGTTTGTATAATGTAACAGTATAACAGTTACTCACAAAATTCTGACATGACATAAAATCACTCCACTGTAATTTCTTACATATTTCAACTCACCGGCCAAATCTGGAAACGAAAAATCCACTGGACAGTGCTCCAATCAGACCACCGGCACAGAAGATGGACGTTACCGTGGACCATATGGTGTTCAGCTCCGTGTTGTCCTTGAACATGTTCTCTTCCTGCGGAGTGTCCGGTAAAATGGGGGCGCACCATCTCTCGATGTCGGCGACCGGCGCGGTCTGGTTGTCCAGCCGGCTGCATTTGACATCGCGGATCCATTTCCCAACCAACTGCACATAAGAGAAAATAACAAAAACATGAGAAACTTGTGCATGTAGCGTTCATTCAAATTTTAGAAACTGCCATAGCCATAAGTTTTGTTAGGCCGTTACACTACGTCTTGCAAGCGATCCGTATGTTCAATTGAAGAGCGTTAATTAAACTTAATTTTGTGTTTCGAATTTCATTCAATCCTTTTTTGCATCATCGAACCAAGAATGCTTTGCTGGAAGGATTATTTATAATGTATTTTTATTTTTCAATTTTTATGGGCTGCTGCAGAATTGTTTAGTTTTTGTTCGTGATAATCCGTTCAATTTCCGCCAGTAAGAATCGACTGCAACATCGCGCGTCAGTACGCACACGTCAAACTACACAAATTCTGCTGTCAAAGCAGAGATCAATCATATTTCGGATAGTGATAAAATTAATCCTATTCAAGCACAGTACGAAAGCTCATCTTTATTTAGGCAGACAGTGCAAAGAAAACTGGGCATGCTGCCATCGTGCTGACCGAATTCAAGCGTCTCTACACGCTGATTAAGCCAAAAATAAAACGCCCTTTTACCGTGTCATCCAATTTTAAACTAAAAAATTAATAGAAAATTACGTAATACTGGTAGCATCGGGAAGTATTAGCGTTGAATTACGAGATCTGAAAATTGGCAACAAAATTCTGTGAGAAAAATGGCTCCAGCACATAGCAGCACAATTTAATACAAGAGTAGTCAGTAAATAAATCTGATCATTTGCAGTAACAAAAATTAAACGATATATATAATCCAAATCTGAACTGTCTAAATGAACTGGAAAATTTGTGAAGCTCTTACAACTATACCGTCTACGATTTACCGACTGCTGATAACCGCCAAAGACGCCACTTCACTACAATCTTCTATCTTGCATCGAAGTGCGAACTTACCAGTAAAAACTAGCAAAAAATATCAATATCACTGCCCAAACCCATTCCTTATCTCGCAAATAAAATGTTTTAAAATTTAACGCGATCCAAAAATTTGAATAAAATTATTTTTATTTAATCCCTGCGGCTGCTTCAGATTTACTGCAGATACAATAATTAAGTAACTTCTCCACATAATATAGAGCAATATAAAATTCAGTTTAATTAATAATTCATTATAAATCATCGTTGAAATTTTTAATAATTCATTATAAATCACCGTTGAAATTTAAGTAAATAAAGTACACTCTATATCAATTAATTAGCATCATCCAAATTTTAAAAGAATTACGGCAGGGGCAAGTAAATTGTGTGATCTATGAAGTAACTAATAAAGGACGCTTAACATACGTTTCGCACAAAGTCCCAGTATAAAATTACTTGATAACACACGCGTCTATCGCACGCGCCGTACTTACACAAAGACCACTTTAAAGAACAAACAACACCGTTATCATTCAGAATTGTGTGTTATCGCAAAGCACAATAAAATCGTGTGGCTTTCTTATTGACACAAAGCGGTTCCGAATACACAGTAAGTCAGTAACAGATTGGATACAGTTCCAAATTTTCCAATAAGATACAGGTTATCAATTTCGAAACGATACAGTAAAAACAGCGGTGTGAATAAAAGGGGATAATTGGATGTTAAGTTGTTAACCAACTACCCTGTGAAAAATGAGCCTAATGAAACAATCGTACGTTTGACATGTGTCAGTTACGCTCCATGGATACTTCGGCTGCGGTGCAAGAAATACCAAATAAATGATTAATATTCATGGCATGTACAATCGGCATTTGACAACATTGTGGCTGGCAGTCAAATGATGTGATGCACCGTAATTTCAATTCACACACAAAAAAACACATGCAGAAATGCCCTGCCAAAATACTCGGTCAAAAACCACGATCTTATCATAAACCGAAAATTTCTGGGGTTTTTTTTACTACTGATTAATTACTAGGTAGTAAATAAATTATCTGCAATACTTGACCAGATGCTGCTGATAAATTATTCATATTTCGAAACGATTATTTTTAGAATCCCATCTATAATAATTTTTATTTCGAAACGTTACTTCAATTCAAACATTTCTGGAGGTTTTTTTTACTATTGAATACTGATGAATTAATTAAATTAATCTGCAACATTTATTAACCAGATGCTGCTGATAAATTATCCATATTTCGAAACGATTATTTTTAGAATCAAACGAACCAAATTTTACCATCACAGTACAACAGGAAGTCCAATTTTTGCAGGAAAATTGGGAAAAATTCACCACATTTACATATACCGAACGCTGTTTCGCCAAGATGCACACGAACATTCTTTAACGGTTTAACCGATAATATGCAGCATAATATTAACAAAACGCATCTGATGCATATTTATTTATAGTCTCATATCCATATCAATCGCATAATTGATAATACGGTAATACCGCGCAATATTTCAGTTTCTGCAGCACAGTATCGATTTATTGATTGCCGGAAACTGGCCTTGAAAGTTGCGAGTTTCCCACGGAATCAAAGTACCAATTTAAAAAAAAACCGATAAATCACAAAATCAAAAATGGAAATAAATATCCAAGCCAACCAAAAATAAATAATAAAAAATTTAGAACGAATAATGCACATTTCAATGGCTGTATTTGCGACTATTTTTTAATTTCCTAAATAAATAAACTGCACTCACCGTCTGTGGAACATTGATAACTCCGATATTATAACCAAACAAGAAAGACGATCCAAACGCCGCTGCTAAAATCGCGAACACCAAGGGTCCGGTTAGTCCCTACAAAAAATACAGAAATCACTTATCGCTGCAGGAACTTCATTAATCATCCTGACAACCAAAACACTGCATGATTATTGTCAACAAAAACTTAAAACAGTGAAAAATTCAAAACACGTATCAAAGTTTCCGATGAATTTCTCCAGGATTCTTGTCAAGTTATCTTATCAATCCCGCAAATCTACCACGCAGATCCTTTTTACTATTCAATAACACTTCATCAGGAAGCGTAAACGCGAGATAAGATAGCGGCCAACCGCGATCATAAAACCAACAAATGTCAAGAATCCGCAAATGAATCAGTCAAACTGCAACGCTTCCATTGCATGCTTTTTACTGCCTCCGATAAGCATCCATTTACCTTGCTTTCCTTCATGTTTAACGGCTTCTACCAACTATTAAACCACCATAAAAACCGAGGGAAAACTCAACGGAAAACCACTTCAAACGACCCTGGGAAAACGGGGCTGGAAAACGTGGAGAAACATGAAAACTTACGAGACGGCGATATTTGTCTAGAAGACCCAATAAACCCCGTTTACTGCCTGTCTGCGGCGGCGTTGCAACCGTGTTCGGTCTGGCTGGTGTATCGCTAACTGGTGGGGGCGGGGCCACTTCATCGTGGCCTTGCTCGATCTCCACGGCGTCGAATGGCACATCGCTATTGCGGGGGCGTGCTGACTCCTCATTGGCTGGCGCGACCCGCCCGTTAGGCAGCCAATCCGCCATTTCGTAGTCAATTGCCGTTTAATTGGGCGAACAGGGTATGCACGCAATATAATTTCTACATCAATGAACGAGTAATTTGCGATTGTTGGTACACTGCCCTGCGGACGCTTCCGGTCAGGGGTTATTTAAACTTATTTTGTACATGTGAATGATGTGATAGAGCGGAAAGTACATAGTGGCTGTGTTGTTTTGGCTTGAGGCATGGTGTAGTACAGCAAAGGATTTGCTGCGCTGGATGGGAGAGGTAGGGACTTCCGGTTGAGTGGCAACATTTTACTTCCGTTCCCGCGTTTTCAGTTCAAACTTTTTTACATACAAAAATTTGAAAGGTGTAGTAGTAAAACGGCTTCGCATTTTTTACCTGCTTCTTGACGAGGAAACAGCGGTAAAAGTAATGCGTTATGTCATGCAGCTTATTATTTCTATAATGGTTTTATTTATACACCAGCAAAAATAAATAACTAATTTAATGCCAACTTGCTAAAACACCGTACTAATGCGAAATAATTTGTATTTCAGAAAGACAGCAAATGCATACACAGTTACTGGGCTGTACGTACAGACAGCTTATAGAATAAATACGGGAATGCATTTTGCAGAATAATAAAGAGTAAAATTTTGTCCTCCTTTAAAATATAGGGTAACTTTTGTTATATGTGTAAACGTAATCTTGAATGTTTTCTTACCAGAAATAAACAATAGAGATACAGGTTTTCCATTTGTGCTTTTTGGTTTCAAATTGTATAATTAATTTAATATCCCGCTAATTCGAAACTTCCCGACCGATACAACAATTAAAGTGCGGTACAATAATCTGATGATTGATGTAGAATACAATAATATCCGGCCGGATTATAGGATATCCGAATTTTTCCATAATTGTAAATAAAATATCCTTCCATGCAGCGCGTATATATAATATATTCCAGAATATTTTAATATTATGGAGGATTTTTCCGCATAAATTAACATGCATTCCGACAAAACTGATAATTACAAACCATAAAAGTTCGACAAAAAGCCCACCCAGTAAAATGACAACTATATGATTAAATTTCTTTACTACAGAATAAACAAACATTCCTCGTGCATCTGATAAACAAACATCCACACAAGGGATATTCGTACTGAGGTATCCTATCGCGGACGACTGGTTGATCCTTGTTAACGGTCCCGGGGCGGTTGTCGGCATAAAAAGTCGTGTCGTGCTATGTGTCAACAACCGGAAACACTTCATGTAAGTAAATTCAACAACAAACGCATATGGTTGCACAAAAATTGCAGCTGCGCATCAACGGGATGTACTACCATATTTAACGATGCTGAGTCGCTGACGTGCTTGATTGCGCATAAATATAGAAAATCGCCAAACAAATTTAATTTTCTTTCCCGGCGCCTGGCCGTAGCGCAGGGTGTGTTACAGTGATGTACATGGCTTACTACGCGTACTATCGTATATCTCATCATGCCTTCTCCGACCTAACGCCGGAAACCGATGCGTTCTGAAATCCCCAGACTAATTTAACGATTTCAGGAACTGAATTTGTACACTAAAGAAACGTACGAAGTTGGATGGAACATGGAACGGGAAGATTCAGTACTACGTACGTATGCAGCACTGTATGCAGTACAATACATGTGTGCAAAATTACAATTAAATTTCTGTATTATCAATAACAATTTACATTGTAGCCTTGTAGGTATACTGTATACAACGTAAGAACTTTGCCGGTCCAAGTACAAAATGCCGGTCAAAGCTTTATTTGTACGAGTAAATACATTGAAGAATATTGAGGTATAATACTTCTACTGAAAAACGCACACTTGGCTAATGTTGACAAAACTGATGTGTTTTGTAGTTGTACAGAAAACTTTTATTATTCTATGCTATTAAGTACTTATACCGTAGTACTTGATCTACCGGTAAAACAAACGACAGCGCTTTAATTTGGACAAGTACAGTAAAACTTAAACTACTGAAATATAGAAGTACAGCAGATATGGTACATACACGCGGTACGCACACGGCACAATCGTAAATTTGTAGGCCGCACACTAATTCGAGAACTTACAGTAAAGGTTTAATTTAGTGCATTTTAAATTTTTAGGCAATGTCTAAATATTGTAAGGGTGGGTCTCACATTCAAAGCGAATCTCGTTAGGGTACGGTTGCTCAACCGCACGAGGTGGTTGTTTGCAGTGGCCACGCCTACAGATACGGTACGCGAAGCCACCTCGCGAGGTGGAGTTGCTGTATCGCAACTAGATTCGCTTTGAATGTGAGACCCACCCTAAATTCAGTTGTTTGCATACGATTAATTAATTTTTCCTGCTTGCGCGTCAAATTTGAATGAAATTTCAGCGCCTAACCCGACCGCCCTGATTTGACAGCTGTCCAGTGGTTCGGCTCTCCACTCCGCAGAAAATTCCCACATTTACCGACAACAGCTGATAGATGACGGATGACCGACCGACGACACGACCGACCGACCGATAGATGACCGACAACAGCGGATTACTATACTCCGCGTCTAGCTGATTCCTCGCGCAGATGTGAAAATGAGTTGCGCAGTTGCGCAGGTCTTCAGTTTTTAAACTCTCTCTTTGGATTTAATTTTCTGCATCCGTCAGTACTTCCTGTCTCTCCCGTAATAATTTTAATGAGGTTCAATTTGAACTTAATTATTCTCTGTGTACCCCGCACAAAAAACCCCCAACGATGATCTCCACGTCTAAACCCATCATCACCAATACACTCCTACATTTATGGCGACATCCAGCTTCAATCTCGCCCGGTTCTTACAGGACCGCGAACTCCCCACCAACATCCACCCCACCCCCCTCCAGCGCAGTCTAAACTCCCCGTACGCCTACGCCCGCATGCGGCTGGCCCGTCGCCTGGTGGCCGCCGCCAACTGGGGCGCGGATTTCAGCGCCAGCGGGGATCTCTTCGTCTGCCGTGGTCCTGCCGGATCCTCCGATGAATTCCACCTGCAGTTCTGGAACTGGGAACACGGACGGCTGGTGTCGCACTGTCCTTACCCGTTAAACAACCATTTCCACACCAGATGTTTGGACGATTATGCCGTGGTGTGGGATCGTGAGACGTGCTTCCTGGGGATTGTGGCGGTGGAGACGGCCAGTACCTATCTCATGCAGTTGATGGAATGTCAGGACGCGGTGGATGCCGTGGCGGTGCTGCCGGGATGCTTCAACGAGATCCTCATTGCGGATGATAAAGGTACGGCGGACTGCGTGAGTATGCATTCTGTAAAACGATTGACGCTGACCGGACCATGAATGGGAAGTATTTCCACACGTTTTGGGATTTTATTGTCAGTTTATTGAATTTTTTGGGAGTTTTAATTGTGGCATTTGTCGGACTTCTTCGTTTATTGATACTTCCAGTGCAGATTTGGACAATAATGCAAATCGCATTACTCTTTAATTTTTCTTAAATACAACATGATAAAAATTTTTTTAGATACATGCTATCAAGTACCAACTTTAAATTTTACGTTAGAAGCACACAAATTAATGTTGTATCATGCAGTGATGTGACGGAGATATCAGTTTAATTGTTAAATGTGCTAATTATTTGAAATTTGCCGCCGTTGCCTTACTGGCCTACTAAATAAAATTTGTAACTCTGTCAAAGCTTTTCTTACGAATTGTTTGTACTTACTAGTTAGTAGTTACTACCTACTTACATAATTGCATCGTGTAACGGGGCTTGCAGAACAACCATGGCGAAACGGACATGTAAGCACTTCACTACACATATTTAGTGATTTTGTAGATACTGTAGTAATTTGCGCGCTACTCTAGAGCAGTATTGGGAAGAATTATATAGTCATGTTATTTGTAGTTATGAGGCTGTTGGTAAATAACTACAACGAAACATAAACCGCAGGGAATTTTTCATTTTTTTACATTTCGAGTTTTTATGATTGTACGGCACTTGATACTATCCACTATGACGATGTCATATAGTATACAGCAACACATTCAGGGTTGTTTTTACACGCAGGACGTTTGTACATGCGCGACCGGCGGAAACCCCACCTGATCCCCATGGGACAAGTCCAGGTCATCACCGCTGATTGCCAGAGCGTCACCTCCCTCTCCCGCAACCCCGCGCAGCCCCACGAATTCTGCGTCTGCTCCTCCTGGGGCCGGCAACTGGTCATCGGGGATCTGCGCACCGCCGGCCGCCACTCCACCGCCCCCGTCGCCAGCCGCCGCTTCCACTTCTTCCAGCAGCGCGGCCCGGACACCTTCTCCGCGGAATACAACCACAGCGGGACGCGCCTCCTCGTGCACTGGGAGAACGGCCTCCTGCTCTCCGACCCTCACTACACCACCACGGAGGACTTCCATCTGCTCTTCTCCACCCATCTGGATTTGTTCGATGTGCGGTGGTTCGGGGGGAAGGAGGAACATGTGCTCCTGGGGCATCAGATGCGGGCAGCGTCCGACGGAATGGACACGGTGGAGATCCGTGATGCCCAGCAGAGTGGCGGGGTGGTGCAGCGGATGGGTCATCCGGTGGCGGGAGGGGAGGACGGGGGTGGGGTGCATTTCGGGATGAAGCTGTATGTGCATCCGTGGCGACCGGTGTTCGCGGTCGGCTCCTCGGATGATACGGTGTTGTTTTATCAGTCATCGTTGTGAATTTGTGTGCTCTATCAAGTTGGCTGTATTTGATATTTTTATTATCAAATAGGCTATTTTAAATCGTTTTTCCAGATATTTTTGTTAAAGAAGGTAAACCACCCTCGCACTTTACGATTGCTTTATTCGGCTGATGTTTTGAATTACCTCCGTGTGCAGTATAGTCGGCTTACAACGTGCATTCAAAATTTGATGAACTCAGTGCTTATTGATTTTTTTTTATCGGATCTTAATTGACCAACTTAATTCAGTCAGCGCTTTTGTGTCTGCTGATGTCAGATTAAACGAAAAATTAAAAGACCCTTAGTTTGACGGTGTCAGTTTTTCTTTCCCGATGCGGAAGCGGTCCCTGATGCGCGACAGGGCGATTCGGAGCAGGCGTTAAGCACGCCGGGAATTTTGGCAGCCTTGACCGCGGTGGCAAATTCTTTTTTGAAGACGTCGACATCTACTTGCATTTTACTGTGAGCCGGCATGGAATATTTGAAGGCGAAACAGCTTTTTGTCGTTTTATCATTTTCTGTCGTGCAGTCTCGATCGTAAATGAAGGCGTTTCCGTCTGATTTCATGCCACTGGTGCTCGCTGTGGAAAAAGAATCATGAGAAATCTTCAGTTAATGAAATAATATTATTATAGTTGTGAGACACCTTTGACGTGATCGATACGATTGCTGCGAGACAACTCACGGTATTTCTTTGTGAACGTTTCTTTAACTGCACTCAGGATGGTTTTTTCCTGCGGCCCCGCATCCGTCCAGTCCTCCAGGGTGGAATCGCGGCCGGGATCGGGATTGGCGGCCACCCAGCCTGTGATGTAGATTTCCACAGGATATTCTTCACTAGCGGCTTTCGCTTCCAGACCGCACTCTTTCTGGGGAATACGATAGGCACGCCAGCTGTACTGCAGTCTATAAAAATGGAAAAATGTTAACGCGAAGTCACAACATTACGGTTCGGTGCGTACGAGGTCACGTTCAAACTGCTCTTAATATTGGTTAAGCATCATCCTTCCCGTAATCAGGCGTGATATGTATACTGCCTTGATTACAGTACGAGTACAAGTACATGTACATTGATACATACGTTATTACGTACACATGATTGCACTTACTGCCGCGATAATACAATACAGACGTTTTACAATAATTATTACAAATTATTATAATATGATATGCAGTATTTCCCTTTTTTCTTAGCTCGATCGCCTTCAACGATTCAAGTACGTCTACGTTTTCCGGTTTACATAATCCGGTGGTAGCTAGTGCCGCCGGCCTGACTAACGTATCCCTGAAATTCCTGATTTAATTTGACTTATTTCTGAATTCCTTGTCGTGTGCAATTCGTAGAGACTGACTTACTGAGCGTCGTCCGGATTTTTGTTTTTGCGATCGCATGCTTTGGCGGCCGACCATTTCGCGGATTTTTTATCAGCTGCCACATCCCCGGCCTTGTCCGAAGTAAAGCAGTCAAACTCCTGAATGTCTTCATTATAGTGCTGGGCTTTCTTGAAAGCGAAAACAGCAGTGAACCGGATGCTTGATATCATAATTATTGCTTTACTGACAAATATATGGGAGACATAGTAAAAACTGTGATATTTCACTGACCACTCGCAGGCTGGTTTTCTGTAACGAAAAGCAAGAAGCTGATGACCTTAGTATTTGGGCAGTACGTAATAAACGTACTGAGCGTGAATTACTGTGCAGTAAAATTTCGCATAAGTAATTCTTCACCTTGAAACTGGCATTGCAGAAGTCACCGGAAAAGGTGTTGGTGAGCGATTTTTGGCTTATGCAATATTCCGAAAAGAACTTTCGCCAGCTGAAATACTTCGCATCGTCGGCTGGATGGAAGCACTCATCCGAAGCCAAGGTACAAAACCTGAATACTTTTAGATTACTAACAAGTGGAACGGTAGCAACATACTGGGAAGCTAGATCAATTTTCAATTAGCAACGACGGATCGCTGACCAAATGCTAGCTGTCAACTTGCCTGTTGTCTACCCCTTTGAACAGTTTAGTGTGATGTGCCGGGTTGCAGTCCTTATCCCAGCTGCTGAACTTCGGGCTGGCATAGCTGCGAAGTTGATATTCCACGCGGTAGTTATCGGCTGCTCTCTGTAAAAGTGCAAATGGTCAACGTTGATGATTGTTATTAGTAATTTTTTAGAAGATTGCGCTGTGTGAGTAACAAAAACGTTTCGGGCGATGCATTTTTTCAACGGCATTACTACGACGTCTAACCTGTTCCTGATGTCTACCCAGTTAACATTGCTGAGATTAGGCAAACTGCATATAAATTTGGCCGGCAAAACCAGAGAAAGCCGGGAAAGACTAAGGACGCTTACCGCAGTCTTCCAGGTACACGACAACGCGATAAGCAGCGCCGTTACCACGGGTATTACGTAACGCATGTCCGCAGTTGATGATTTTGTAGCAGCAGCAGGAAACAGCAGTCTGGAGATGCAGCCGCCCTCCTTCAGTTGAAAATGTTTTGACACTACAACAGATATTTCACAGGTGTGGCTGCAGCTCTTATACAATCTGGCGTAGCCGGAACTTGACTGAATAATTAATTCATTGTCTTTGGACAAGGCGGAGTACAGTCATCGTTTTTTTAACTAAAGGTATGAAAATAACCGAAGGGTGGAATATTGATTTACTGCTATCTGCAGATACTTTGTCAATTTCGCAATAAGCGGTCTCCTAGTCATGGAAATTTTCAGTGTTGCAGTGTGTTAAGTTTAACCTGCATGCCGTGAGTTTCCTTGCGAAGTTAATTAATTGTTTACAACGGTATTAATGAGACAATCAAAGTCTGTGGTAATTAATTTTGCGTCTGTCGGGCACCCAGGTCCTACATATGCCTAGTTGCATAACTTTCGTTGCAACATTGTACAAGTGCAGCGGAAATTTGGCATCTCACATCTCGCGCCCAGGAATTTTTCACGGTAGTCGGGTCTTGCGAAACATTGCCTTCAGGGCAAATTTAAGGTTTTTGTAGGAATAACCGAGTCTGTTATAGTACCGTGCTTATTAATTACCGTATGAGAAGAAGGAAAACAGCACTGTATATTTCATACTTTGGCATTGGTTGTATCGTCCTTAAAGACAATAGTCGGCACTCAGCTTGATGGGTTTTCTCGTACTGTCGTTGACTAAAGCATCAATGTAACAGCGACAATAATGTTGTCGGCTTGTTAAACCGACCGGCAACGCTCGAGCCCGTGCTAATATTATTTTACGTAATGACGACTGCTTGAAGAAACCGGGGTTTCGGTGGCAAGATTATCCTTAGCAATATTTCTCATGACTATCCTTAGCAATTTTTCTTATTTTATACAGCACCGTGTTATCACTGTAATCAAAAGATGATAAGTTTTCATTCAGGCCAAAATTCAACGTAATCTTTTCGCCACACTGACAATGATCTTAAAACATATTATTTTGCGTAACAGATACACTGTATACTGACAATTCAAGCAGTGGTTGTACCTGCAGATCCTGATACTACAAGTACCAAAACAAATTAAAAAGCCGGAAGAAAACTAATTTTCAATGGTATCAAGTTTTGTTTGTCGGTTTGCCCACTGGTGCCCGGCAGGATGAATATGGGCAGGCATTAAGCACGCGGGGAATCTTCGCATTCTTCCTGGGGGATGCGATAAGCCCGCCAGCTGTACTGTAATCTGTGATCCCGAAAAAAGATTAACAAAGGTCACCAAAAATTAAAACTTACTAGTAAAAACTTGTAAGTTTGTACAGTGCTAATACTAGGCACAAACTTTCTAGTTTAAGCCGTAACCGAGCCTATATACTCGTACATATGTATAATCATGCATATTGCGTAGCACGCAAAGGTCGACTTACTGGGCGTCATCAGGACTTTTGGTCTTCCGATCGCACGATTTGCTGGTCGACCACTTGGCGGATTTTTTATCGGCTGCCACATCGCCGGCCTTGTCAGAAGTGGAGCAGTCGAACAGTTGGATCTCTTGGAAGTGGTGCTTGGCAGTCTTGATAAAAAACACCAGTGAAGCGGGTCGTTGGCATATTGACTGGTTGACTTCGAATGCAAAGCGTAGCTAAGACTGTCTCCTACTTACCACTCGCAGGCTAATTTTCTGCAATAAAAGAAAAGCATCTACAGCGTTTTAACGTGAACAGCGCTAAATCCGCAGTAGCATTTTATTCCCGACAGCTTACTTTGAAATTAGCATTGCAGAATTCACCCTTAAAGGTGTTGTTGAGCGCTTTTTTGTAGAAGCAGTACTCGTAAAGGAAGCTTCCCCAGTTGAGAAACTTCTTGTCATCCGCCGGATGGAAGCAGGTTTTCGAAGCCGCGGTACAAAATCTGAATAATTTCATATCTGTGAGTCAGTGACATGTGTATAGTGTAGGTGCAAGTTTTTTTGGAGCATAGTGTCAGATCACTCAAATCCTAAGTTTCTAATCGACGATGACTACTGCCAAGTTGAGTGCCAGCTTGCCTGCCGTCCGTTTCTCTCAGCAGTTCGGTGTCGGAGGACAGGCTGCAGTCCTCCGTAGCGTACTTTGGTGCAGTAAAGTCCTGCAGCTGAAACTACGCGGTAATTATCGGCTGCTCTCTGCAAATGCATGTAATTATTGTGAAAGGGTTTAACGAGGATCTGGGTAAAAGTATTTGCAGCACGAATGCTACGGTAGTTCTGCACGGAAACTTTCGGTGCGGCTTGCTCCTTGGTCGCGGAATGTTGTGTCATGTTGGCATCCATTTTATTATATAGTATGACAAGAACTTACTATAGGTAGATAGTAAGTACTTGAGTATGATTATAATATACTGTATTATACTGTGCTCATAATGATCCCCCAAATAATTTGCTTGTAAAAGCATAAAGCGATTGTATGTTATTTAGGAAATAATTACATCGCAGGTATCCAAAAAAAATAAAGGCGCTTACCGCAGCCTTCCAGGTGCACGACAACGCCACAAACAGTACCGTTATTTTGTGCATTAAGCTAACGTATATGCAGTGTAGGACTAAATGGTCGCATAGCCCCATACCCAGCATTCTGTACGCAAGCGGTGCAGTGCACTTGTACGAAACGGATATTTTGAACTCAGTCGTACAGTGCACTGCACTGCATTCGTACTGAATGTGGAGATGTCGACCATTTTGTCCTAAGCTGTACTCGTACATAGATAGAATCAACTGCAGCTGCCTTGTTGTACAGACTCTGTAGAAGTTTCGTAGGTGCTGATATCTTATATAAGCGCTTATATAAGATCGGGTGTAGCCGGAACTGCCGACTGAGTAATTATTCGACTGTTTTTTCTGCCAATTACTCCGCATTACAATGCGGAGTAATTGCTTTTTTTGCTATAAGAGTAAAATAACCAAAAGGTGAAAAATTGGTTACATAATAAATAACCTGCAAGTATTCTTTCAGTCTCGTAAGCTGTCTGCTTTGCCGTATTCTGCAAGAAAATTTTCCACATCATCCGTGCTTTCAGTCGTCGAGAGCGCCAATGCTCGGTCTACATAATTAATCACACTCAGGTGACTCAATCGTATTGATAGTGTTTGCCGGGCACCTCGCCCCTGTGTACGCCTTGTTGCATAACATTTTGCAACCCGGGTAGCGGAAGTTTGGCAATTTCTCAGGTCTCGTACCTAAGTTCTTTTCTCGATAGTCGTTTCATAAGAAATTGTGTCTTAAGGGCATACCGTTATTGTCGGTTTTTCACCAAAATAACGCAACTCAAGCTGCACCTATACCGCTGCCATGCTTTAATAAAGTACCGTGCCGAGCACCAGAAAGCAGCACTCCCGTCACATGACGGTTTTGCCTGAACTCCGATTCACCCAAAATCACTTGTCTCTTGCGAACTTATGGCATCTTGGCAAAGCAAACATGCACTCGCCAGACTCCAGGACGGTGTAAAATTGTTAATAATACTGTTTCTAGTGAAAAAAAATGAAACCGTGGCTTTAGCGGTTGTGAATTTGTCACCAGGTTATTGTTGAAATTTATTTTTGCGTGTACGAACCCTTTTTCATGTAAAAGAGAGCTTCTAACAATAAGAAGTTGAACCTTTGAGCCCCGATATAAAATCATATACGTATTAAAATGTTAAATACTGTTTGCTAACTTAACGCGGATTTTTTCCAAAGTGAATTTCTGTTTCTGTGTAGGCGGTACATTTATCAAAAAAGTCACGACAAATCTGCTGGTCTACATCCAGTTTATGTGAGCAACTTTTCATTCGCTTGCGAATATAACAGTAGTTAGAACAACGAAAGAAGTTCAATGCGGTGTCCGTTCTTGGAACTATGGATGTAACGGACAACTTAAGAGAAATTTTTCTGTTATAATCAATCTTGTTTTTATTAACAAAATCCGCAATATGTCTGGCTTGTGCTAATAAATATACGAAAGACAGTAACCTATGATTGATTGATCATACATGGTGTGGATGGAGCTCAAAATATAGTATTTTCGATATATTTCTTAATCTGCCGAGGTGAAACCATGTGACAGCTGGGAAAATTGATCAGCATCTGGTGGAATGCGGCACCGGAGCGGTCTTTCAGCACAAACTTCGATGACCTATAGGAAAAAATGGGGAGATTTTACATTATTAGTGCGATAAAATACCAGGCGTTTGTTTTGTGAATTACTTTTTAAAAGCTGTAGCCCATCGTTCATCAAACCAGTTCCTTGAGTAAATATTGAAGTTTGAGTTCAGGGAAATATTCCAGCGACTCCATATTGTCCGGCTCAAACCGGGTCATCTCATTCGCTATGGGCTGCAGCATAATTGCAGTTATGCGCGACAAAGTCGGGGAATCCCATATGGCCAAATGAATCGGTTGGCTGGATGTCCCATAGTCACGTATAAGCAGCAGTGCAGCTCTTTGTCGTCATGTCCAGTTTTTCCGAGCTGCTGATCGGAATCGATCGAATCGGAACTCTTTTTTCGTTGAAGAGTTCTGATCCTTTGATGTCTTCGCATGCGCCATTGTACATGAGAGGATCAGTCCAGTGCAGTCCACGAAGCAGCGCCGTGATATCGATGCCATACTCGGGCACTGACCACGCGTAAGGGGAAGTAAAATGCCAATAATGAAAGCTGAAGCAATACTTATGCTGACACTCATAACGGAAATGCGAGAACAAATGCGAGAAAAAAATGCGAAAAAATGAGAAACGGAAATGCGAGACTGGCGCATATGTTGGCTTATGATGTTACTAATGATGTTTGTGATCAGGCGTCCTTTTACTAAAGTTTACTGGAAATTGTGAAACAAAATAAAAAAATTTACTAGGAAGCAGAACTAATAATAATAAGTGGTTTAATGTCCTTAGCTACGAGACGTCGCCTCCTTTTAAGCTAGGACAGGGAATCATGAAGAAGAAATAACAAAAAAAAAACAAAAAAAAAACATGACATTGGGAAAGGAAACAATAGTTAAATTACCAGAACAAGATTGTATTTGCAGTTACATTCACAAGTTGTCATCGGCAGTTTTGCGACAGTAATTTTACATTAGGGATACATTTCCGGTTTCTCAAGAAAGCTAAACTTTAGGGACAAACAAAGGATGATTTTTGATCGAAGGAAGGTTTATCAAATCAATTCGATCTAGTGCACTGTGGAAAGTGCCAACAGACAGATAGGCTTCAACGGGAAGGAAAATCTCGTTCGTTAACTGCGTTAATTGAAGGAAGCTGGCATGTGTACGCGACCAGGAAACTTCAAGCAGCGATGAAAATAACTGTATAGCCCCAGGAAAATAATACACCAAAAATTTTAATTCAGAAGGGCGTGATATCAGCATCTACTTGTGCATATTTGCACGAGACTAATTGCTTGCTCATTGTGTTTGTACTGAGTGTCTTGCAGTGTGGAAAAGTTCCCATTAGCCTTCAGCTACACCACGGTTTACGTGACCGTCAATTTCTTTCTGCCTCCGAACTGGCTGCATAAAACTGAAAATGCCGAGTGCGTCGAATATTCGTCTGAGAATGCCAAGCTGCTCGATATGACAGCAACCACATTCATTAAACTTTATCACCGGGAATTGGCGGGAAAGAATGATATGACGAAGCTTCTGCCTTTGGTTCTTATTGTTACTGTAGTTTTGCGAATGCATATGCTCGCTTAAGCTTCGTTTTGTTACGCAGTACGCCCCACCGAAACTTTCAGCGGAACTTCCCACTCTGCGTTCCAGCATCCATTAGGCAGTCTAATGGCTCTTTTCATCTTTCTATACCCTAACGGGTTCTCTACTGCTCAGTACATAAAGTTTAAACATTATGTATTGCGCAGCAGAAAAACCGTGACAGAGGAAAATTTTCCTCTGCCGACTTGTCGCGTTGTATCACCCTTTAACAGTTTAAGTTTAACTTTTAGGTAGCTTTCTAAGAGTGAATTAAGACAAAGTTCGACCTGCTTTGTAATTTGCTTTCCTTGTACGACACAAACGTTGTCTTAATCGCTTTCGGACATAAAACGTTTTTGCAACACTCCTGCTATCAGCCTATACGAGCAAAATTTCCTAGATGATAGTTGCTTACTCTTACTTGTTAGTTCATGGCTTCATGTTACAGTCATTTCCCAATATGGTGAATACAATTTTGCTTTTTTCCGAAAATTACACTAGATCGCCTAGACGGTTACGTCAGCCACATGTGCTTTATAAAGGTCACGTCGATACAACTGCCAGGGTGTAAAAATGAGTCAGGATACATGATTGTAATAATGCACTCAGGATACAGTACTTCTCAATATTTTACAATAATGCTTTCAGTATATTTTTAAAGTTGGCGAAGACCATCCATGTAACAGCTCGGATGACTGATGAGCATATGTTGGGCCACAGTCGCGGATCGAACTTGAATCACAAACCTGGATGATCTACAAATTACAGCAAGGATTGATATGGAAAAATCAAATATTTAGTGGATTCGAGGCCAGATATTTTTTATTCGCTTCCAAGTATTATTACATCAATTATTGGTTTCACCTGTTTCACCTCGTAAGTCGTGCAGGAAAAAAACTGTATAATAAATTAATAATAATAATAAAATAATAAATGATAATGTAATAAATGATACTAGCTTTACTGCCCTCATCCTCAAGTTACAGGCATTCTCACCACATGGCTGTCTTAAAGATTAATTCAGCCTTTGTTTGTCGGTTTCTTCGGTTGAGCAGAACCGCGCGCGCCCTGAGGCGCGGCAAGGTTTATCAGCGCATACATTGAGCACTCCGGGGATCCCGGCTGCTTTTACGACAGCGAGAAATTCCTTGTCGAGGCTTTCAACGTTCTGGTTGGCTTTACTCTTGCCGCTAAGCGAATACTGAAAAGCAGTGCAGCTCTTTGTCGTCATGTCCAATTTTTCCGAGCTGCAATCTCGTCCGTTGACACTGGCGCTGTAGGCCAGTTCTATTTCGCTTTTCGCTGTGAACAGAACCACAGCACACGATTAGGATAATTGAGACACTGATTCATATTTTATACTTCTATACTTAGCTTGTAACTACAACAGAGACACGAAGGTAACGAGTGCAGTCCACCACGTACCGTATTTCTTTTCGAAAGCTGCCGTAATCGCGTCTAGAATGACCTTCTCTTTTGGGCTCGCATCCAAATAGTCCAGATTGGGATCGCGGTTCTGTTCCGGATTGACGGCCACCCAACCATGTATGTAGACGTCGTAAGGTGTCTCTTCACTGGCGATCCTCGCATCCAGTCCGCATTCCTTTTGGGGAATCCGGTAAGCACGCCAGTTATACGACAATCTGTGAAGAATATTAATTTTATGAATATTGCATTGACATGCTTTATCGTTGTTAGGCACAGATTTTGGCGAACCGAATCTCGCAAGGTTAACGGAAGAAATTTCTAACCTTTCATTACAATCTTATGACGCATAAAAGGTCATATTCAGCACGAAAGCCTAATATTTTCCTTACTGGGCGTTATTGGGATTATTGTACTTGCGATCGCACGACTTGGTTACCGACCATTTTGCGGATTTTTGATCAGCTGCCACATCGCCGGTCTTGTCAGAGGTAAAGCAGTCGAAATTCTGAATTTCGTCATCATGGTGCTTGGCAAGCTGGTATGAGAAGGCAACGTCAGGATAAGCATGACAGAATATTAATATTCAGGATTTTGTCTGCGAACATCGCAACTCACCACTTGCAGTTTGGTTTTCTGCAATGCACGAAGAGTTTATGCGTCTCATGAAATCAGGTGTACTCGTACAATGATTTCAGCCTTCAGGTAATGAAATACTGGGTTTTCCTGTTGACTTACTTTAAAATCAGTATTGCAGAAGTCACCGGAGAAATTGTGATTAACCGATATTGGGCCCGCGCCGGCGCAGAAGGCCGAATAGAAAACCCGCCAGGCGAAGTACTTCTCATTGTCCGCCGGATGGAAGCATGGGTCGGAAGTGGTGGGACACTGCCTAAACACCTCAACGATTGTACAATGATAAACTCTTGTCGCTGACTTGAAAACAGGAAACTGCCTACTTGCCTGCTGTCCACTCCTCGATACAGTTTAGGGTCGCATGGTTCATTCGAACTGCAGAATCCTTTAGGCGCGCATGTCGTCTTACCGTCCACTAAAACCTTGGCCGGATTGGAAAAGCTGTGCACTTGAAATTCCACCCGATAATTATCGGCTGTTGTCTGCAAATAAACGCTTAATCTGTATACACTGGTATTGATACGTCAGGGTTACTATATTCTGAAAGCTGTATAAATTAGAACGCAGACAAATCTGCGAGGCACTCATAATACTTAGTATCGCGTATTTCTGGAAACATTTAAAAACTTAATGTATATCTACTCGTAGCACTTTATTAACACTGTTTTTATTCATTAAATACTTTAAATTTCACTCTTTGAGGTTAACCATATGCGAACATCAACCATCGGTACATGTTAAATTACTGACCAGGAACCGCACCGTAGATGCCGGAACACGTAAACTCGTATAGGAATGCGACAAAAGTTGAAACACTTACCGCGCGTGACAGGGCCACGCAGAGCAGCGCCATCGTGCTAATAAGTTGACCACCCATTTTAGTAACTAAAGAAACCAGATACGTAATTTAATTAGATGAGTTTCGGCACCAAATAAAATATTGTAGATCTAGAACTGAACTAGTTGAAGTTATTTGGGCGCAGCACCTGTGAAAAATTCTGGTGTAGCCCAGCCGGGGGCTGAGTAAATACCAGCAATCTATAAGAATTAAGAATGCTGCTTAACCGCTTTGTGCCGGAACTACTACAAAGGTAAATGTTGCAAAGCATCCGAAGCCAGTGTGCTGGGGCGCACAATAATACTTTTTACAGCGCTGCCGCTTTAATTGACAAGGCTCAGTAGGTGTTTCCGTTGTATGAGCTTCTCTGGGTGCAACACTTAAAAAGGAGGTTGTACATAGCCGGGAGCCGATTGTTATTTCTAGACAAGGGTGAATAATTTCCTTTCAACCTGTAGAAACACCTGCAAAACCCATAAGACTTGCTTGGGTAAAGAATCGAACAAGTTTCTCATGGTCAGTGGATAATTTCAGGAGACTGCTACCGTACGTATATAGATAACCAGGCGAAAATACGTGGAGCGCAGTATCGTTCGACTGCACGGTATCTAAAATCGTAAATATGTAAAGGCAAGCAAAAATCCGCGCGTACAATTCTGGTCGAAAAACATAGCCTTTCGGAGCAGGGTCGCCGCTTGATTAGATTTGCCTACGAAATAATCGTACTTACGTAATTACGTCGTCTGTGTATTGGGGAAGAATCGTTAATTCAGGAAAGCCAAAACGAAAGGCGCCAGACTTTGGTTACCTAGTTTAGAGTGTAAACTGTAAACTACTCCGCCGAAGTACAGAACTTCACCCCGAAATACAGAACCGCCGGATGGAGTATCCATGCGCATGTTCGTGTTTCGAGACACGAAAATTTTGGGCACGCAGTGCACCGTACACTCTATGGTATAAGAAAAACCGCCTTATAAAATGGCTACCCAATCCTGCTCACTACAACCCAACCAGTCCGACTAGCGCACAAACCTGGCTATGCATATGACTGTATCAATATCAATAGTATAGATTCATATATCCTTACGTCCTTATTTTTTGGAAATTATCTCCTAAATCAAGATTGATTTTTTCAGTAAGTTGATGATTTTATAAAACAGAGCATCGCACAAACGTTCCTACCTTTATATTTCAAAAAATCTTAAGTTTTGGAGAAGGTCTAAAAAAATTTTTAGAAGCTGTAGTACTTAAAGGTTGTTAGTACTTAAAGGCTGTTGGTTTTGGAAAATATCTCCTAATTGCAGATTCCGTTTGTGAAGCTTTTGATAGTTTTATAAAATCCAGCATCTCCCAAAGCTTACTACCTGCTGCTTGGAAAAAAATTTTGGTTTCCGGGAAGTTTTCAAAAACCCTTTTTAAACTTTCAGTACTTAGCGTTTAAAGTTCATAGAAATTTCCAGTAAATTCGGGAAACGTCTCGAATGAGCAAATACAGGTTTAATACAGGTTTCGCAACTTAGCAACCTAAACAATCGTTATTTAAAACTGTCAATTACATCAAACCTGTAAATTTACTTTTTTAAATTCTTGAACCTTTCTTTTTTTAAACCTTTAAGATGTTTTTAAATGCGTTTGAATACCTCAAAATGACTGTAAATTTATCCAAAGTCGGCTCCAAAGCTTTTACATTTCCAGAATTTCTAAGTATTTCGACTCGGCCCCGCGCAGCGGGACCGTTACCTTTAATTTTCTGAGCCTCCAGTTTCAAAGTTTTAAAAATATCTAAAAATCTGAGAATCCCAATATCGCACGGTTTAAATTGTCTAATTTATATGTAATTTCTAAATATCCAGAAGCCGGCCCGCGGCCCGTTTACCGTTTTCACTCACGTAGCGGCTCTGTAATTCTGGTGGTAGCTTGGGCATCCACTAACCTACGTTGCTCTGTAATACTGGCGGTAGCCTGGGTATTCACTCAACTCGAAATCTTTGTATTTATTTTATTTATTATTATTCGTATTTATTTTATTTTAATAATTACAGAAGAGCTTGAATGAATGGCTGAAAATCTTACATTCTTACATGCAGCCTGCCGAGGTCACCTTGGGCAACCGTTAATTGTTTCCCACAAGTTTCCATTAATTCTGCGCTGAAATATCGGCTGAACGGATTTTTATGGGCATCGTGTAAATGATCCCACTCTATCCATTTTATCACCGTTTAAATATTATCTGTCGTACCAAAAATACAGGTTTTCAGTTCGTTAGAATCGGCAATGTAAAGTTACATTAAAAACAGGAAAAGGAACCGTGAAAAGGCAAACAAAAAGAAAAATTACGGAGGCTTTCAGTTTTTATAAAACTGGTCGAATTTAACCGGAAAGCTTGAAAACTATCCGCATTTTCACATGTTTAAAATATTTTCGTAGCTGGCCTCGCTGGGGTTTTATATTTGAAATATTTCTCAAAATCTGTTTTATTGCTGTACGAAGTGTATTTTGTATTTCTTTCATTTTTCCATACCTCAAACACAACTGGTCGCGCGCTAGCGCGACCGATACTTGTAATAGATTATATCACTATCAGACTTTTCAGTACAATACAGCCTGGCCAAACCAAGCTCGGACCCAGACTCGCCAGTGCACCCCCGTGGCCCCCCCCCCCTTAAAGACGGGCCTGAGTGTATAAGTTGTATAACAAGATGTTCAAGTTAATGTAGATCCTATTACTCATGTACAGATAGATTAGAGCAAAGTTTTGACAACATTTAATGACAGCTGTGTATGCACAGCGCGTGCCGGTAAGTACAGTACTGTACTGTTACCCTGCACTTGCCGAAAGTTTTACTAGTGCAGCCAGGCGTACGTTGTACGATCGCTATCACGATTCACATAGACGGCTTACAGCACTTAACTGCGCACACTGTACGAAATTTCGGCAAGTGCAGGGTAACAGTACAGTACTTACTTGCAGCGGTTGACTATGCCCGGTGTACTTGTACTTGCAGTGACTTATAAAGATACTACACCACAGCCGATAGCGCTATGCATTTGAGGGGATATTCTGTAACATCATTTCAAATCCACTAGATAAGTTACAGCAATAAATATTTTATATCTACTTGTCATTCAATGAAAATATTTAAAAGGAATGTAGTTTGGTACGATGATTACGATCTACGCTATTAAGTACAGCCGCCAGTCCGATGTATAACGCAGGCTAAAATTTGTATTAGTTGTATTAGTATTAGTTATGTGATCAGGATTGGGCAGACGCTTAACAAGGCGGTTTTTCTTATACCATAGAGTCTACGGTGCACTGCGTGCCCAAAATTGTCGTGTCATGTTCGAGTACGTTTACGGATACTTAAACCACAGCCCAGTAACACGTAGTAAAGTAATATTGGGCTGTGCTTAAACTGCACCTACGTACTGGAGAAAAGAGTTTAAACATTCGAACATTCGAACTAAAATGGCATTCGAACTAAAATTTTAGTTCGAATGCCATTGTTGTTTCGGTACAGAAAGGGTATATGACATTGTTGTTTCGGTACAGAAAGGCGGCATAGTCAACCGTATTCTGAGACGGAGCAAAAGTTTATTTTTTTGTACGTGGTAAGGATAACGCAATGAGCGTGTGAGTACGGTCCCGTGGCAAGTTGACTATGCGTCTATGACAATGGAAACCTATTAGTTAAATTTTGATCTCTTTCCCTCTAAAGGGATGCTTACAGACTGCAGTTACAATACGGACCAGGGCCGTCTTTAAATGTGCTAGCGATTCTTTTGTAATGATAATAAACACTAGACTATATGATTTCCAGTATAGGTTTATAATGGATTTCTACAGCATTCATCTTTTTTCGACGCCTTGAATGCCTCGATCTCCGTAAAACGTTTTGCGGTGCAGACACTAGCAGGCTTTACAGGAAATACTATTAAAATCAACAAGAGACATCTTGTGCATTACAATGTACAAGTACTCATTTATTGTGGCATTATTACAGCTAACATGTCCTACAATCAGCTACACCCAGGAAATTGTTGTTTGGCGTTTGTTATCCGGGCGTTATTAATTACAAATTCCGCGATGCCAGAAAGAATATTACAGCTTAGGACAAAATGGTCGCATACCCAATATCTCCAAATTCAGTACGAATGCAGCGCTGAGTTCAAAATATCCGTTTCGTACAAGTGCACTGCACCGCTTGCGTACAGAATGCTGCCCACATTGTAATTCAGTAGAAGTAGCAGAAATTAATGACAATCACAGTGGTACCCATAATTACAGTAATTAATTTTGTGTCTGTCATATATAACGCGGTTATATATGACTGTCATTCTCCGTGAATGAAGCCTTCACCGTCTCCTCAAAGGGTCCGTTGAAGGAAAACCAAACGATTCTGCTTACCATGTAACAGGCAAGCGCGAGGAGATCACGAGTGATGCTTTATTGACAAATAAAGGGAGCAATGCTGCGTAATAGCAGGAAAGCAAGAACAAAGCACTGATGGCTAAACAAGCAAGTGTATGCTAAAAGAGCTCTTGAGCGTTCGTCAAGACGTGAAAGAAGCAACTGGCGGCAAGCACGTGCTGTGTGCCATCAGCTGTGTGATGATGCGCAGACTGGACTCAATCCAACGCGAGCGTACGCTGAGTCATACAGCGAGAGAGGGACGAGAGAGCAAGTATGCTCAGTGTGTGCGCCGCATATATCCGCTTCAGCGGGTATGAGTGCAGTGCAGCAGCACACGTACGTACAGCGAGAGAGGCGGTATGGCAAGCATGAGTGCAGTACGTCCATGGTGGGCCGTATGCACCAGGCGCAGTCATGTGCCTCTGACATGCCTCTGGGCGGGAATCCGAGCTCCTGCGAAGGATGCTCCGACTCGGTACCGCACCAGTACCGCACAACTCTCCGGTCGGACCCATGTGGGGTCGCCGGTACGCGTCCTCTAGCAGTGGGAGTCCGGTGTCTGGTCGACCGTCCCTTCTTCACTTCCGAACCCATGAGTGGAAACCACTCACGGCCGGGAAATCCGGAAGCCGCTCGGGCGTTTCGTTGGACCGGTGATGCTTCTGTTGGCTTGG